CAAGTATTACTGAATACCTTAACAAAATCCCCATCAGTAAATATTTTCCTAGACACTTATAATACTGAATGAATCGAGGTTTTGGGGACTGAACTCTAAAATGTGAAAAATTTGCACAAATTTCGACAGACATTTTAAGGTAGGAGGTTTGTTTCTAACTTATATTAGTAAAACTAGAATTTGTAGAACTTCCTGTTTCTAAAATCCCTATCAATGGAAAAGTATTTATGTAGTCACAGATCTTCTTCATTATCTTAATTGACAAATACTCAAAGTGAAATTACTAGGTGAAAACTCTGTAAAGTGAGCTTACTGATTATTAAAGGGGAGTACAAAGTCATAAACTTAAAGAATTTTCGAACAAATGTAATATTCACCTAAGTTTATTCATGTTTTTTGAAAGAAAGATTTAGCACTTGGTTCTCACTAGTAATCATATATACATTAGCACAAAAGGGATGAGACCAACATCAGCAGTGGTAGTTTATTTGCAATCAGAAAATTACTAAACACTGTAGTTAGACAAGTAACTGAAACAATCCATAACATGTCTGAAATAGGCATAGATATTACAGTTCAGCATTAGACATTAGAATCGGCACAGTGCTTCCGTGTTCTTAATAGTGGTTTACCTCAGGTCGACTCGCGAATTCAACTATGAAAATTCCATGAATAGTCATACTGATTATAATCATGTGCTCACTAATGACTAGTTTTAAGATGAACTTCCTGGAGTTTGAAAGAGAAGCCGTGACCAGTGGAGTGCAGCCTGTGTCGGGTGTGAGACAGTTATTCGCCTTAGATATTGGATGAAGGGTTGCTCACTATCATGGGTCAGTTGAAGTTAGACGTCAACACTGTTAGATGCCAGCTCAGTGATCTAGCTGTTAATCGTTCGCGCTCGAGACCGAAGGTCTTGGGTGCAAGTCGCAGGTGCGCACTGCTGATGAGTCTCATACTACAATGAAACGGCCGTCCAGTGCTTCCAAGTTATTGATGGTTATCTAGCTTAGATCGACTCGTCAATTCAGCTGTTAAAAAACGGTATAGTTACAACGCATAATTTATAGCTGGTTCGCAGGTTAATAACAACTTTCTGATCAGAAAGTTCTTATAGATACAACAATGTATTAAGAAATTAAACTATAATTACGTGATGATTAGAAGTATTTGAACTATTGTACAAACTAGGAATCCCAGGAATAACGCAATTTAAACCGAGAAGAACTTGGTGAGCATGAACAAACGTATTGTATTTGGAATTCAAAATCAGACAGACATCAAGTATAAAGGAATCATTAGTTCATACAAGCACCACAACTTATCTTGATGGATTTAATTTTTTGCATACAGTTACTAAGAAACTGAATCTGGAGGAAGTAATCAAAAATGTAATTCACAATTGCCTTTACAACTACCTTTAATTGACTTATATGAATATATGATAGTTTGATCCATTGCATTGTTCTGGAAAATGCTACAATTTAAATAAGAGTTACTACGATGATAAAGCATAATTTTGTGAAAAACCATGGAACAAGAAACAAGACTCGCAATTGAGAACTTGCAAATCTTCCAGGCATAATAATAAACTTATATGAAGCAGTTAGTTTACACAGAATTAAGTAATAGTTTTTATAGTAAATAGGATTTCATAAAAGATTGTTTTGTTGTACACTAAACAACAGATAGTATTAGAAACAACTGTCTAATACTCTCTCATTTCATTCGTAATGTATGAACTTCCTACCTATTTACATATCTGTACAGATAAAAACGTATATTGTGAATATATATATAATGTCTAGCGTCTATGGAATGTTAGTTAGGTGCACCGATCAATCCAAATAATAACTCGGAGGAAATTCATGTACGTGGCCTGCTTGAATATCTGGGCTACCGGTTTCTGCCATCTAGATATTTGAACCAGTCTCCCTTTTTGTTTGTTTTAACATATTATCATGTCGATTAATCACATAACCCATTGAGCCTATCACTTCACAAGGCACAAAAAATTACAATCAGACATATCATGGTGTCTGGCAATATGCATTGGAAAGAATGAACATTATTTAGATGTCGATTCTTGAAATACTGAACTCTAACTGCTGATCAATAATGGGCAACGTCTTCAGTTCTTACTAAGTCCAAACATGTAACGTATTTGTGGTTTAATCACAAATCAAGAATCCTGGTTAAAATGACTTACAAGACGACTGACTAATATCACTACAAGATTTCAATGCTTATTGTCAGGATGGATCAAGCAATAAGAAAAGGGAACTTGTTAAAATACTTTGTACCAAATAAAGCCATCAATAATATTAGTAATAATTCAGCCATTTAAACGTAAATACATGTAAACATTTTTGGAACAGAAATACATTCAGTAGCAATGTAATCATAACTTCTTACGTCATTGCACTGAAGTTGACTAGTTTTTCTGTTTATGTTTCAAGAAGCGAAGTGATGACTGGAGAGACTTTACAGAAAAATTATTCTCAGGTGATATAGCTGTCATCTACCATGGTACTTTTAAAACATGCTCACATATATACACAGCTAGAAGCTATGATAGTGTAATATATCAAAATAAACTCAGTTGCATCGATATGTTTGACCGACTAACTGAAATATCGCACATGTTCCATATAATTTGAAGACTTTACTGGAACAGAAGCTAAAAACTAGTATTCTATTCCTCTGATGTACTACATAATTTTGTGCTTCGTTTTTGCTTGATCTTAATGAAGATTCAGCAAAAATACATAAGTGTAACAACAGATCACGAAATGTCTTTACTCTAGGGAGTAAAATTTCATAATGTGAGTCACACTAATGTATATTATTGACTGAATCTATCACCAGAAAATATGAAACATTAGATATCTGTTTCGTCCCGATATGGAAACCTCTCAACAGTGGAGGCGCGAGACATAATTATCAGAATCAGAACTTACTGGTTTAGCAATGAGTGCTCAACATAAAGAGGCGACGATCACCTATGAAAATACATATGATCAGTTAGAAGTTTTAATCATTAGATTACAAGCTTACCGCTAACCCTGATGGTCTTGAACTTAACCTTGATGATATCTTGGTTACTTAATGCAAAGGAGTCATAAACTAAAACGAAATACTGTCCAATATTAATTGATTAATAACCGTTGTCATACTGAAGCTGATCTATGATGTACAAAAAACAATTTCTCCTTAATGTTTGTCATACTTCAAAACAACTTCACTAACATATTTACTTCTGTTCAATAAAAGTATGTTCTGTGCATAATTTTCAAAATTTACCCAGTGATCATTTTAAAAGAAAAAAATGTTTTTTGTGGTAAACTATCGTTAGTCATAAGATATTTCAATGGAACTTCAATTTTATCATTTAAAACCTTTTTTTTCAAAACTGAATCTAAAACACTCGGTAATGTTTGGCTTGTATCTTCCCATTGAGGTTTAACACTGCAATTGATCAGTCTGTTATTGGCATATGTGCATACTGTGTGTATGCCTCGATATTGCCTGAATTCACAAGCTATTTGTAAGCAATGATGGATAGTGGCTAGCAGTGGAATCTAGTTTGACGCGCGTTTCGTCCTATTTGGGACTCGTCAGTTGGATGTACCTGCATCTGAGAGTTGATGTTCACTGTGGGACTCGAACCCAGTACCATTCACTTCAAACGCCATCGCGTTATCCACTCAAATAGGACGAAACGCGCGTCAAACTGGATTCCACTGCTAGCCACTATCCATCATTGCTTACAAAATGGAATCTAAAACATTTTAATGTTCAAATATGATATTGATTATTTTGTTATAATAGTTGACTGTAGTTACTAAGTTATATCCATCAATATATATATGTATTTAAAGTACTTTAATCAATATTGAATATTTACTTTTCAAAAAAACCTGTTCAAACATTCATTCATAGTTGCCTTAATAACCGTTGCATAATTAATTGATTCTTCTTTTGTATTGTAGTTTACCTACATATGATTACCATCTCTCTCTCTCTCTCTTTGGTTTACACACTCAGTCACTCACATGCATAGAAATATAATTAAGACAAAGTAACCATTCAATTTTTTAATAGATGTAAAGTGTCATGTGACTAATAGATATCACCTTGAAGGAAATGGATTAGACAATGTTGGCCAAATAGACTTTCTAAGTTAATTCCTTGTAATGTCATGTAAATTCCACAATTAATTTTATCAAGACGGTTTCAATAACTCAAATGATAATTGAGTTAGTTATTAATATTAAGTGATTTAGTATTCATGTTGATCCCTGATATAGTCTGATGGGTATTGTATTATACAGTAGAAGTATGTTATGTAAAAGGCTTACCACAAGACGGATCAAAGACATCGTAAAATTTCATAAGGTGATTAGCTAACAAACCCAGCTGTTTAGGGAGTTCCGTACTTTATTTAGATATTAGAAATAAAAGGAGCGACTTAGCCTAAGATTGGTTATAATTCCGTAAGTCCATTCAGTTTTATTCAGACAGTTCTAATGCATGATAACTTGGAGGTGTAAAGTCTGATTATAAGGCCTGTATTTTCACCACTGTTCACCCGCCTCCTGATATTTATGTTATTTTTTATTCACTTGGTGCTTTTTACTTGTATATTCCCATTGTTACTTAGGGCTGCAGTTGATCAGTCTCTTGCTGGCATATGTGCATGCTGTGAGGAGTGCCTCGATATTGCTTCAAGTCACAAGCATTATAAGCAAAGATGGATGGTGGCTAGCAGTGGAGTTTAGGATACGCGTTTCGTCCTATTTGGGACCCTTCAGTTAGAAGTACCTGTATCTCAGAGTTGAGGTTCACTCTGGGACTCGAACCCAGTACCATTCACTTCAAACGCCATCGCGTTATCCACTCAGCTACTGAGTCCTGATACCCACCTGTTTGTGCAATGGGGTGAAATTTAAATTCATTTGGTGTTGTTTTACTTGTATCTTCCAACTGTTATTTAGGACTGCAATTGATCAGTCTCTTGTTGGTATATGTGCATCTTGTGCGTATGATTTGTTCATGGAATTTTGTTTTAGGTGCAAAGTATTTGTATTTGACATATTACAGATATTATTATTTTGTTCAACAATAACAGACCTTCAATTAATCTCAACTTTTAATTGTTTATCCCTTTTATCGCACCAAAATTTGACAAGTTCAAAGTTAATATCGTCACTCATAGTAATTTGCAAGTATACCCTCCAAACCCGATAATGTAATTGCTAATCATTCACTGGACATTATCAGTGCCTAGTTCAAGTGGAAGTGAGTATCAAAATAATATCAACAGCTTTAGATCAGCACGTCGTCACACCACAGTAGGTTATGCTTTCATTTAACTATGCCCAAACAGATTGACATCAGTTGAGGGGCCGCTAAATTATAAAGATCATCAAAATAAACTTACGTTTCAGCTGAGGACTCTGGAAATGAGCACTAATGTCCTACCTGGCAAAAGAACCTAGAATCATTAGGCTTCAAAATGAACACGTTACATTTCTAATTTACTGGTGTTTAAGTTGCATATTAACTGTGGGATATAAATTAGTTTATGGGAGGCTAAGAATGTGAATAGCTGAGAATTGCCATAATGAGACATCTGGTTTTTAATTACCAATCAATTAATTTCCCTTTATTACAGAAACTGTCACCGACTCATTTACTCGATGATCATCAGTATTACACGCTAAACATGGCTTATATTCGTTTAATTTTAGAAACATGTTCAAAGAACAAAGTCAAGATCGGAATATTGATGATATTGACTGTAATAATTCAACTTCTTCGGATCGATTGATTAAAGCTAAAATCAATTCGGCGGTATGCATATATTCCATATTTTATATGTATAGTACTCGTGATAACTAATAATATAACTAGGATTATGAGCGATAGTAAACAGTGTTGAAATAAAAATGTTAGTTACCACAATGACCACTAATATTAAAATAACTACTACTTAATTGCTTACTTACTCCTGTTACCCCACACAGAGGAGCATAGGCTGCCGATTAGGATTCTTCAATCAACTTTTTACTGGGGTCACCTTTCCAATTGTTTCTAGTTGCTATTCAACGTTTTCATGTCTGCTTCCAATTCCTAGCGCAATGTGTTCCATGGTCATTTTCTCTTCCGTCTGCACTCAAGATTTCAAGTTAGCGCTTGCCTCGTGATGCAGTCTGATAATTTCTTCAAAGTGTGCCCTGTCCACATCCAGTGGATTTTTCCGATTTCCTCTTCACCTAGAAATAGGTTTGTTCCCTCCCACAGTAGGTTGTTGCTGATGGTATCCAGCTAACTGACATTCAGTATCTCATGTAGATAATTGTTTATGAATACCTGCATTATTCTGATGATGGTTGTAGTAGTTGTCGATGTTTCAGCTCTGTACAATAGAACTGTCTTGACGTTCGTTTTGAAGTATCTGACTTTGATATTGGTTGACAGGTATTTTGAGTTCCGTACGTTCGTCAACTGTAGTAATGTTGTTCTTGAATTACCATTCCTTGCCTCCACTTCTGCATCAGATCCTCCACATTCATCGTTGATGCTGATGAGCCAGGTACGTGTAACTTCCCACCTGTTCCAGAGTTTCTCCATCAAGTGTGATTAGGTTGGTGTTCTCCGTGTTGTATTTGAGGATGTTTGTATTTCCGTTGTGTATGTTGAGGCCTACTGATGCAGAGGTTGATGCCACACTGTTTTTCTTGACTTGCATTTGTTGGTGTGTATTGAATAGAATAAGCTAGGTGAAATGTTGTTGTTGGGATAAGCAGTCCAGGTTAGATGAATATTCAAACCTTCTTTCCTATTGAGAGCAAAGGGAGTTAGCATTATGTGAAACGCTTCGGCCGCTCGCCTGTCTTTATAGTTGGAAAAGCCTTTCTGAATTATATATATATAACATCAATTTGGTGATTCTTGAAATTAGCATGTACTGCCAATTCTACATGACTATTAGGTTTTTTTGTAACTTAAGTGTTCCTTGGTACATTAGAAGTAAAAGATCTAGACATAGCATATTAGGATAGCATATTACTTAAGACTATTACTACTATTTTAGTAACTGTTAATATCCCGAATAGAGTAACTGATGGTGCTCCATTTAACCATTTTTAGTTACTTGCTCAGAATCCTCGTTGTTACTTGTCGATTCTGTGATTATTTTATCAGGTAAACAGTCTAACAACACGTATGGTGATTCGTGATCTAAATAAGCCAGTTTTAGCCTATCATACAAATTCATCTTGACCAAATATTACTTGATATTGACAATATTGAGACCTAGTGTGGCTTTGATTGTATTAAAAAAATATTTTGCATTATTTCCTCTGTACTATTTAAACTTGTATTAATTTAATGTTTGGTTATTTATTTACTCTGAAGAAGTGGCTTACATAAAGTTACGAAACATCGTTAGAGATACAATTTTTCTACTTTTTGGGATATAACAAAGAATACATTTATTATTAAGTCTTTATCTAATGTTTAATTTATGTTGAAACTATCAATCTCAATCTTGGTGTAGTATACTTATTTATTACTTTCTGTTTTGTTCATTTTTTCCACTCATAGTATAAATAGGAGTCATTACATCTTCAATTGGTATATATTTGTCCAAAGCTCTAGTTTTATTTTGTATTAAACCAGTATTTTACAATATTCATGAATGCGTATGTTATAAATTTTTGTCTTTTCCTAATTCATTACTTTGCATTCAGTCAGTCAGCTACACACTTAGGACCAGGCACATATATGCATCGGTCCAAGTTGCCATACCGCATTAACACAACAAGATGAACACCGAATTGATAGAAATAGTTCATTCAATGGTAGTAATATATATAAAAGAAAGATTGCATATAAGGAGATAGTGCAGAAAGATATAAAGCAATTTTAATCTCATAGTTTAAGAGAAGACAGAGAGCGTATACACCTACGCCATTGTGATTTATTTTAGGCCATGTCACTCAGAGTCTCCAACCATTGATATTAGGACCGTCACGTGGACCCCAAACAAGTAGTGTGCATCTATCAACATTCATTGTCATTTCACGATTGTTATTTTTCTTTCTTTTTTCTATTTGTACATTTTTTTGTATTAGATATCAAAATCAAAAAAAATTAATGTTACCAATAAAAAATTGACAATGTATTTCGATAAAGTGGTCGGGACATTAAGTAATATATGTAAGTTAATGGAATATCAATTCCTGCCTCCATATATATGTGAATCTCTTTACATCTAGTAAAATTATATTGATATATTTATGTTATCTATTAATAAAATAGAATCCCCTTAATAATTGAATTCATGAGTCAATCAAAGTTAGACCATCATGGAAAACCTGGAAGCACTGGATCACTGTTATATTCTAGTATGGGACTCCTCAATAGTGAGCATCCACGATCCCACCCCGCGAGACTGATAGGTCCTGGGTTCGTATCTTGCGGAGGGCGAGGTCGTGCATGCGCAATGCTGAGGAGTTCCATACTAGAATGAAACGGCCGTCCAGTGCTTGCAGGTTTTTCATGGTGATCTAACTTCAATTGACTCATGAATTCAATTATTAAATTATTACAATCGTCAGAAAAGCCGTCTCAATTTTCTTTTAATTTATGATAATAAGTTGGTTAAAATAAATCATCTTTATGGTTCAACTACTATAGAAACTTCAAACGTTTAACTCATATGATATATTTACCATAAAAAGTTTTTGGAATGTGTTGACTTCTAAGTAGATTTCTAGACGCTCATAATCTTCACCAATTGAACTCTGAATGAAATAAGGAGTTTCAGCTAAAAACGCGATCTTCAAAATCTTGGGGTTTCTATAAAAATTTGAAATTTTTTATAACTATCTCATAACACAACCTAAACGGATTGAGAAGATAAGACTGAGTAATGAGTTGTGCCTACGGAGAGTGAAAAAAGTACTAGAAACTTGTACGGATTTCGTAAGTCGTCAGATTTCCCCTAACAGAGGTATATAAAACGTAACGAGGGCTAGTTGAGTAATTAACTTATCGTAATTCTCTCATACCATGATCTTGTCCATTTTATTTGGTTTTTCTCATTATATCCCACATTAATTTTTTATTGACTAATCAATTATTAATATTGTACACAAGGATCTAAAATAATCGTTAGCAAAGTATTGAGAGATTACTATCTGTATTTGACATCGAGTTAAATTAACATGGTCTAGTTCTTAGGTTTGACCAAATTTTATCGAGCTTTTCGATTATGTAACCTCTAACCTAAAGTAATTCAACGTTATGGTCAGCAGTAAGCAGTAGAGAGAAATGTTTTAGAGATGGATTTAGTTTATTTTCCTGTAAATGAAACTACGGAAACTAATGTATTCTAAGATTCTGGTTATTTTCATCCATTGACAAAAGCATTAGTGACTGGATTAATTTTTATGCAAAAAATTATACTTAAAGATGCAAATCTTACTACATTGTAAAATTCAGTTTATATCCAGAAATATTCAACTTTGCACCAATGAATGATGCAAGTAATCTAAAGGATCACTAGTCGTTAGGATTCCTTGATGGTAATATTTCTGATTGTTGCTTTAGCTTATTGTGACTTTAATCTCGTATCCAGCATTTGTTTCCTATAGGTTTAAGATGTACTACGGTAATGGTTATCAGTCGGACAAAAATTTAATATCAAGGTTTTCTGCGAATCATTTTGAGATGCTTAATGTTATGTACCCGTCATTTTATCACTGATACTTGAAACGAGAAGCCATTACAATTGACATGATGTGAGTGAAGAACATGGAAGACTGGCATAAGTGAAGACTTATGAACATCAAAAACACGACGAATCTAGTGAAAAAATACACTCATTTATCCATTGATTTTCACATACATTTGATTATTAATCTGTAATACGACATCTTTATGAAGTTGTAGAGAAATCGCACGCTTCATGTTATTGCTAAACATAGTTCATGTTGATTTAATACAAGAATATCATATCTTGAATAAATATCTAAATGAAGTAAATCAGTGTTATACTGAATCAAATAGCACATTGAAAATGAAACAAACGATCTAAAGAGATCATTCTCTTTCTGATACCTTCAAGTATCTAGTCCAGTGAGACGAAAGTATTAGTGTGTCATTAAAATGAACAATATTTCAATATAACATTTGCTGAATGTGACATTTCTACCAACTAAATCTCATGAACCTTTCTTTAGACCTCTGAAAAAGTATCTGGAAGAGAATGATCGCTAACAGAATTGATCACAAAATGGGCGTATCAAACAAGCTACTTCAGACAGTGGTTTACTAATTTTTAAACATAGAAAATTTAATCTATAGATTAGCTAACAAATTACCTTGTTGACTGGTTTTCTTTTCTCTCAAAACTTTTATAGCTGATATTAAGAAAAAGTCTGATGAAATAAATGTATCACAGAATGAAGAAAGAACTGAGTGTCAAAACACTGAAAGGCAACTTGATAATGAAACTATCACGACTAAATTTAGTATTAGTGCTGTCACTACTAACAGTAATATTAGTAGTATTGATAGTTGTACTGAAATTAAAAGTTATGGTGATAGTGATAATGCGTTACACAATCCGATCAAGAATGAAGCAACAAGTAATCACTGCCAACACCAACATCAAAATAATCACCATAAAAATGAAATTAATGCAACAAATGAGGAAATTCCAGTTTCACCGAGTAGTCTCACAGGTCAATCCAGCAGTTTTTCTCATTTGAATACATCATCTCCAATGTCATATGGTGATGAAATGAATTCCATTCCTGTAACCAGTTCAATAGATGATTTACTTAGTTTAGATCAATATGATCAAGATGACAGTATGTTGAAGGACTTTTCATCACAAAATCAGTATTCCATTGATAGAACAAATAATTCAAGTTTGGAAAGATGGTTATCGCAATCTGAATTACTGAGGTGCAATACAAGAGTAAAAGTAAGTTTATTTAATATTGACTAGTTAAAACAGATCACATTATGAAATGAATTAAGTTCAACGACCTTTAAGAACCTGAAAGCAATAAGCAAATGTTTTATGTCAGTACGGAACTTCTCAATAGTAAGCATTCATTCCCATCAATCCTTTGTAGTAATAATTAAAACAGTAGGTCCTGGGTTCGAATCTCGCGAGGTGCGGGATCGTGAATGCGCATTACTGGGTAGTCCCATACCAGGACGAAACGACCATCCAGTGCTTCCAGGTTTTCCATGGTGGTCTAGCTTCAATTGACTCAGGATTTCAACCAGTGAAATTTCTAAAAATCTCCACAAAACCCATTCTGAAAATATACCTATTCTCATAACGAATTTCTGTTTGAGATATTAAGTTAAAACAAGGGAACTTTCTCTCCTTTTGATTTGTGAAATTAATTCATAGTCAAGGCTTTTCATTGGAGAGACTGAGTTCAAATCTATATGAATTCACTATAGATTAATAATCAATGTGATTTTGTTTGCCCTCAAATGTTATTGCAGTACATTCATTTATGCCAAGATGAATAATTAAATATTAGTGTTATTGTGTTCGTCGAGATATGTGGTTTATTTAAGAAACTGTCGTTCTGGACAACATCATATAGGTCCTCCCTTCTTCTACAAAACGTAAGTTCTGACAGCTTAATCCAGAACCACAAAGAAAGCTTCTCAATGAAATCACCTGGCTCAAAGAATACGAACAAACAAGAACCATCCACCGGAGTTGCAAATGTTCATCGTCGTTTCAGAATAACAGGATTAAACGAGTTTACATTACAGTCCGCTGTACGAGCTATTTGTTGTTGATTCGATTTAGCTACAAGATTATAAATTTAACTTGCATGAATCTATACTAATAAGCTGGCTAGAAAGCATCGTGTTTGAATCCTCAAATTGTCACATGAACGTTCGTCATGGTGGTTTTGAAAATTAAAACTGCTGTTACATCAGTAAATTTTGATTAGACGTAGATAACTACAGTATCACACTGGCCATTTATTTAAATTTTTCAGGCTATTCTTATTGTGATTTCGTTTATCACATTCCATTGTTTTCAGCAGCATTTTCCAAGAGATGGTTATTTCTGGTCAGTCGCATTATTTATCAAACTTGGTACGAAATTAGTCCCCACTAGCCCAAAAGGTAAACTCTAGTTGAATTATATATATTGATTAAAGAACGTACATGATCTAAAAACATCAGCCTCATAATAGCTTTATTCAAATTGGGATTGAGAATTTCAGATTCGTTGGTAGCATGTGTTTTTTGTACGCAATCATCGTGAATTCCAACAACTACCCACGTCTAGATACATCTGAATGGTACATAAATAATATAGATCCATATGTTTAGGCGTTATAGATCACTTCCCCTTCTCATTATAAAGTAAGCACAACTAACATCCACTCATGACACTGGTTGTACTCAAATTACTCAAATTACTTTATATCACTGAAGAAATTATCATTGAATTAATAGTACCATCTTACGGCATCTAAATCTTTTCCCGTTGAATGATGGAACATTCCACTTTTCCAGTTGATAACTTAGTCTGCACACCATTAAACAGCAGAGTTCGTCAGTTAACTAACTGGATCATTTACTTGTAAAGTACTTTTATATTTCAAAATTTCATTCTGGTCAGAACCCAAAATCGTAGTTGGGAAGAGCAAAATTCATATTATGAACAGTTCTCTTTGTTTGTTCCAACTTGACAATTAATCTTAGAATTCATGTTGCTTGAATAAATGTATGTTATTTAATAGCATTACCACTTACTAAGGTCTAAGTAATGTAACTTAACTAATGAATTGTGGAAAAGCACCTGGGCATGAGACTAACCCCTCATTTATTTATTCGTTATAATTTACTATACTAACTTAGTTTAAAATGATTTGGTATTGTGCGGTTCTGAAATTGCATAAGACGAATTTGCTGCCGTATGGTGAAACAGCCACTTAAAAAACTTGGACTAAATGATCCTAGAGGATAGAGAGTGAATTAAGTTTCGCTTTAAACTCGAATAGACCCAGGTATGGAAATTCGTAAACTGACCATTCCAGGTCGACGTTTTTATGTATAGATCTCTGTAAGGATCCATCTTACATATTGACTAGTCAACTGTTCTTAAGGAATAGGCGAATATGATATAGTGACACAATAGGTGATGAACTAATTCATATTCAACAGAGAAGCATCAGAAATGGTTGTCCAGTGAGATTCTACGATAGAAATTTAACACAATGACAACATCTTGAAAAAGCACTCACAGTTTAAAGGAAAACCTGTTACGAATATGGAATTTAAAGGAGACATGGATGCCGAACTCTTGTCCTACCATTCACGGATGTGTCAATACATTTACTTGCTCCTGCGGGGCAGGTCACAGTGGCCGCACAAAACCACTTGACGCTAACTATTAAAGGAGAAGGAAAAACAGTCACCAGTTCAATACAGATACATCTAAAAATCTCTGAACACGTCGCTCCAAATGAATCTTCCTTCAAAATAATCTACACAATTAAAGAAACTACATCGAAGGGAGAACGAATCAAAAACTTACGCACCGTTGAGGCATTAGCGATTCACCAATTCAAGCACAAACTTGCTGTGCACAAACGACACATCCAACCTGTCATTGTTCCTTAGCCCTCACTCCCTTCTCCACTATGTTTTGCCCTTGTTTCCCTTTCTAGCTTACTGTTCTGTAATTCTAAACCATAATCAGTTATTACTATCCTTCAAAAGTCCTTCATGGTTAGTTATTATTCACTTATCATTATGACCTTAATTCTACTCAGTTTCCTTCATATCTGTTCAGTGGACAATTATCTTTTATAATTCTCAACCGTAAATTATTTTCATCGTCCTACACTACTCTCACGTTCTGATTATAACTCAACCTCCTTTGATATTTCGAGTATCGAATCCCTTTGTCATGCGATCTTCTCTACCTTTCTATGAGCATATATTTACCAAACAACTACAAATACGAGTGTACAGCTTAAGTAAATGATTTCATTGTAAAGGAAAATTTCTTCAGTGCATTCTAATTATTTTTATTTGATGACACATTGGGTTTTGTTTTAATTATAACGAACTACTATCAGTCTGACTGAGCTAAGACTTCAATTAGATGTAATTAAGATATGGAATTTCAAACAACCGGAATGGATTTCTACCATCATAACTGATTAGAACATGGCGTAAAGAATTTAATTTTACAATAGTCGTACTAGTTATTCACCATAATATTTTTATTGAATTGCTGAAAACTTACTAAACAATCAGTAGATCATTCGAAGGTAGTAAACAATTATATACTTACTTACTCCTGTTACTCCTCGTGGAAAAGCATATGCCACCCACCAGCACTCGCTATCCAACACTGTCCTGGGCAATATTTTGCAGCTCCTTCCAGTTCCTATTCATCCTTTTCATATCTGCTTCTATTTCACGATATAGTGTGTTCTTTGGCCTTCCTCTTCTCTTTTTCCATTCAATATTCCAAGTTATGGCTTGTCTCGTGGTGCAGTTTGGTGATTTCCGTAATGTATGTCCTAGCATTTTCCATCGTCTTTTCCTAATTTCCTCTTCAGCTGGAAGCTAGCTTGTTGCTGATGCTGACATTGAATATTTAACGTAGACAATAGTTTATGAATACTTTTACCTTCTTGATGATGATTGTAGTAGTTCTTCACGTTTCAGCTCCGCCTGTAGATTTTCTAGAGATAATTCCGGTCCCAAGCTAGGGTAAACGAGATCGGCAACTTCATCCCGTAGAAAAAATCTAACTAAAAAAACGCCAACCAGATTAAATAAACAATCATATACTAGGACAAAATCATTATCTGATCATCTCTTTTTATCACTATATCTCACTGAATTACAATAGTCGACTTTTGACATGAATGATTTCTGTTCCAATGAGATATCACATTTTTAACAGTTTCACAAATGTTTTTCTTGATTATATGTTACCATAAATTCACGTAAATTATATTATTATATTTCTGTGAAACTGTATGTAATAGAGAAAATTATAGGTCATAATGGCCACAGTAGATGTATATTTAGTAACCGTAGTCAATCTATGAAAGGTACTGTAAATCAACCAATTATGTTGAGATGAGATTATCATCTAGAGGAGGGAACTCGTGAACTCAAGAATATTGACTAACTCGTGAAAAACATCTTCTACAATGACTTAATAGAAATTAATCATTTCACTACTATTTCCAAAAATCAAATGAAGATAATCAATCAAAACAAAGATGTCTGATCACAGCATCGTTTAGAATAGGAAGTTTAATCACCAAAGATGATCAGAATATAACAATTTTTTTTCGTTTAAACTATTCAAATACAACTCAGTATAGAAAGTGTGTTCAACTTAAATCCTACTGATGAATTTAAACAAATAGAAAGCTTATATAATTTAAGTACTTTAGTTAACAATTTCAGGCTAATTAAAGTACCATATTCGTACGTTAAATAGACCAAGAAATAACTGATTGGAGTTATTGGTCGCGATTCAGGAGGCTAGATTTCATCACATTGATTAGCTTCCGATGTTCAGTATCTAAATGTATCTTGAATAATGTCTAATTAAATGGATGTTTTCACACCGACAAATTGTGGTAATTAATCGTTGATATCGTTAAAATAAGAAAGATTAATTCCTTAAGAGATTACTCTTTTCTCAATCAGTATATTCCGTCTATTTTTAAAACAGAACAAAGAAAACGACACAGAATTACTTCTATTGAATGTAAATATATTTACAATCAGATGGTGGTTGGAGGTGGTCGATAGGATACCCTGGACCAGGGTTTCGTGCTACTTGGCACTCGTCAGCAAGGTGTACCTGTAATCTTGAGGAAACTGGTGCTCCCTGGCGGACTCGATCTCGTGTCACCCAGCTTCACAGTTAAAGACGTTATCACGACTGACCTCCTGTAGGACTGAGATGTAATCATAACTGATTGAGCACTGGGTGGCGATCTGCATTAATAAGGACTAAACACGCATGACATTGATCGCCACCCAGTGATCAATCAATTGTGATCTTTACAATCACCTTAGAAATAGTAGTATAAACAGTTCGATATTAAGATAGTACCATTAAAGGCGATTAAAATAGTAAACATAAAACGGGGGAAAGTAGTCAACAAAATAAGATTTATTCCCATAAAAATCAAAAGGTGTTAATCATTTCTAATCATTAAAACTGAAGTGCTTCAAAGTTATCACTTCAAGTGTCTGGCTCACTGAAGAAATGAACTCGGAACAATCAAAAGAAGAAAAAATGGTATCAATTCGTCAAATTATCTATCGTCAGTCTCTACTGTATGTCGACATGTAGGCTTCTAGGTCGGGCATAGAAAAAAACAGTTGGAACAAACGGTTTTAAGATGTTTGATGACAAAACTCAAAATCGCTTATCGTAACACAAATAAACTCATTTTTCTCATCTCAGTAATATTGAATTTTAGCAATAGTTATGACCTTAACGTCTGGCTTTTCTATCACGCGACTTATCCACCAATCCGAATTCGACTTATACAAATCTTCACTCTTTGCCAACCAATGACATTCAACCGGTATGAGCAGTCTAGCGTCCTTATTGGTCCTATGTCCTCCTAGCTCGTCCACTAGAGTCCAGAACACAACACCAGTTTCTGCAATGTGAATTGGACCGAATCCAATCGAATCGTTTATTTTAGACATACTCGGTTTATATATCAATCAAATAGACCACAACATACCATAAGATAGAAAATAACATGTGTACACAAATAAGCGAAAAAGTGGCTATGAATGCGGGAGATAGTAATTAATCCGCTGTGACGAACCGCTAGATGTTATACGGCCATGTCTCCAGCACACAAATTTAATGTACGAGTTCTCATTTCTGCACAAATGCGAATCTCGAACTACATAATGACAGTAAGTTGATCTTTCATAATTTGTGATAGCGGACTTCAACGCTTCAATCGATGGGAACGCAACGAGAAACAACGTTGTCAAAAAGACTTCCTCGATTTCTGTTACGGGAGAAACAACAGCGCTTGTACTAGGCACGTTACTGTCCTCCATAATGATGATTAAAATGTACTTCGTCGACAAGTACTGATGTTTTATAGCAATCCGACAAAACATAACTAACAAATTAAAAACGAACTTCAAAACTAGCCATTTCATTGGACGGAACGGGATGAAAAATAGTGCAATTTTGGGTTGAAAAAACATTTTTAAAAAGGGTGGGTGGGGTTTTTTTTTTAAAAAATTGCCGTGGGGCAAATGAATTTCGTAATTAATAGACTGAACATAGATTAAGAACCGTAAATTGCACAATAATAAATTATAGATCAAAATAAAGCTTATAATTAGAGGAATATAGATACATATAATGTAATTATTGAATAATTATACAATGAGAATATTTATAGAATATTAGTCCATTAATAGTCCTCAGAAGTTACCTGTAACTTAATCTTCACTCGGATATAACAAATACTTTGCCATTTTGTATACTGATATAAAATAAGAATGCCAGAATTATGCAAATTTGTACTAAGTGAAAAACTAAAGTTTTGATAAGCAAAGATTTATTGGTAAAGGTGAACTATAGGGGCGAGTAAATGACGAACATGCAAGTAGCTTTAAGGTCACAAAGCCTATACCAAACAACATATCGTCTACCGATGATGAAATAAAGAATGGAATTAAGGTTAGATTTTTGATCATGAAATTACATCAGCTATAATAAGCTAATGCTTGTGATCATATCGATGATTGCTATTCCTGCAAAATCCAAGATGCTTTACTTTAATTCATTTATTCATAATTTTGTCTTCTGATTGGTTGAATAGATCAGGAATTCGTCAACCTCATTTAAAATGTTCTTCAGCTTGATCAATTTTTTAAGTAGACGAAATTCAAACATGGAAAATGTTCGGTTGTTGAAATAAAATAAAATAAATATGTTTGTTTGATGTACTACTTTTAAAGCTTGATGTATCAGTGATAGTCTTGATTGGTTTGTAAGCATAGATAGATATCGTACTTCGTTACATGTATGAGGCCCTGCCTAGTATTATAGACTCCTTTCCACTATTAATTTCATAGTACTGAACTCTGGATTTCACACTGTGGCGGTAAATCGTTATTTAGTTCCGACTACCTGGTTCTTAATCATATGTCGAAATTAGGCGGCGCGTACCACTTGGTCAAGTATCGTGATCTAGTGTGTCCAGTCGATTATCTTTTAAGTCATTGTTTCGTACGTTTAGTATCGACAAATCATTTATTTAATTGTTTAGAACACAATTAATAGTTAATATAGATCATGCGACAAAGTGACCGAAAGTAAACTATGCAATATCTCTTGTATAGACAACCATTATGTTCTAAAATAAGTCAATTGCATACTATCCTGTACATTAATTTTCTCAGGTAAAACTAATCCATATGTAAAAATCAAGCACAATGGAAGTGTTTTAGCTAGAAGTCGAATGATTCCAAATAGTTGTAATCCTATATGGGATGAAAAATTTTGGTTTCGTTTATGGAGCTTAGATACGCCAATAGAGGTAAGTCATTGTTAGATCACGTAGATTTTCTTTATTTCTGTTTAGTAATTATTAAAGTTAATTTTATAAACACAGAACAAAGAAGTATTTTTGTTTCCTTTCTCTTAGTTTTTAGTCAAAGGATTCAAAGATGATATCACTTTACTGTTGTACTGTTCAGTTTCAGAGATTTTTAACGTTTTATTAAAACAATGCTTCATTATGAATCAAAACCATTGGTATTTTAAGTATAATTTCACGAGTGAAATAAATTAACCTGTCTATTGATCTGACGGCTTCGAAAAGTACGATGAAGCCCCCAGAAGCTCTAAAGAACCTGAAGAAATCCCACATAATCAGATTAATAGAGCCTTCTAGAATATCAACGTGACATACAACAGTTATACAATAGCATAATTTGCCTCCCTGCGGATTAGCTGAATTAAAATGATGTTATAACCAGTAATAATAACTAAAAATACCCTAGTTTTCCTGAACATTTTCGATAATTCCCAGTAATCCGTTCTTCTGCTTCTTCTGTCTTTTCATTAGCGACTGTTGGGTTCCGTATGTTAGAGGGCCGTTAGTTGTATGTCATAATCTACCGTAACCGAGTAGAGAACGTATCATCTTCCTTAAAAATGCAAATTACTAACTATTGTATGGTACACTCTGTACAGTAAGCCCTTTAAACATTGGCTTCTTAGATTCTAACAAGTCTGCAGATATTTTCGATTGTTAGACTGAAGGGAGAAAAGAAGTAAGGAAACATAAAATAACATATACTTCAAAGTTTAGATTAAACAAAAGGACAAGGGTATTTACGAGATTATAGGTCAATTGAAGACTCTAGAAGCTAAAATTGGTAGTACATTTGATAATTGTACAATCAGCGTGCTATTTTTCTTGAGAGTTTCCAAAGAATGCTGATTTGTCAATATATGTTTAGTCTTTGGATAATTTTTACAGAAAACCATCGCTGACTCTTTACATTGTGCGTCTCATTTCATCTAAACATGATGTAGCTATTTTCAAGACAATCAGCAGTAAGTGTTTAAAACAAACCTAAAGTTTGATGAAATTCTTTGTGGAGCCTCAGGTATCTTCTTATATGTGCAAAGTATTTTCTTATTCACGACCAGGATACAACAACACCTCTTTTAAAATTAGTCTTTTCTGTCCAATTTTTGTCTAATGGGATTCAATTATTTCAAACAGAGACAGGTTGTACACCTCATTTCCGTCATTATCTGAAAGGACATTCTGTCTTCCATATTGTGAAGGAATTCCAAGCACCCATATAAGTTGCTGTTCTGGCTGTCAGAAGTAAGATTGACCTGATATGCACTAAAAAACTCGGCTTTCATCACATAGTGTCAGAACTCTTGTGTACGAAAACCCTTCAAATCCCAGGAAAGAGTTTAAATGGTTTAAATGTTTATTCCTGGTTAGTGTTTCTAACAAGGTTCTCTCTCACAGATTTAGTTTATTAATTCAATGCCAAACCGTCCTTATTTACCCGGACTTGGGATTAGCAGTAACTGTAGAAGGACTCCATCCAGATGGAGTTACACTTATAATTTGCTTAGAATAAATGGTCGACTTAAGAAAAACTGACTACCATGGATGTATATTTGTTTTTCAATTATTGTCTACATTACAAGCATTAGTCTAAAACACCCTCATGTATAATTGATAATATTTCTTCATGAAATATAATAACCATAATAGAATGTATCTTCTGACTGTTTTAATGATATTGTAAAAGGGAAACGTTTGTTTAATTATGTCATAATGAAGTGTAGATCTATGAAAATAAATGGTTTCTAAGTAAACGAAAACTTACATTAGTCCTAAATTCACTCGGTATTGCTTGCTTGTATTTTTCCATTGCTCTTAAGGACTGCAATTGATCAGTCTCTTGTTGGGTTATGTGCATCCTGTGAGGACTTCCTCATTATTGCCTTAAGTCACAAGCATTATGAGCAAAGATTGATAGTGATTGACAGTGGAATATAGTTTGACGCGCGTTTCGTCCTATTTGGGACTCATTAGCTGGATGTACCTGCATCTCGGACTTGTTGATGTTTACTCTGAGACTCGAACCCAGTACCCTTCGTTTCAAACACTTTCGCGTTATTCACTTAACTACTGAGTCCTGATAGCCACCTGCTCGTGTAATGCGGTGAACATCAACTCTGGCATACAGCCACATCTAGCTGACGAAACGCGCCTGCTGGACTACACTGCTAGTCACCATCCATCATAGCTTACATTAGTCGTATTTGCAAATTTTAGGTATTAAATGCTTATTTATGAGAATTATTTATCCATTGTATTTAAGTATTCTGATTGCATAGCTGTTTAAACTAATTACTTAAGTGTTATTCAATCAGTCAATTGTGAACAATATAGATCTTGGATCAATTATTCATCATTTCCATTTGTTACGGTTTGTGTTAGCGCACAAAGAGTAAATTGTCTGAATACAAGCTGTGTAAATGATAATAGAAAACTAAGCATAAAGAATATGATTTAAAAAGGAAGAATGAACAGAAATTTAAGAATTAGAAGTAAAAAGAGATACCAGGACTTAATATGTGAAGTGACATGTCTGGTCATCACACATAGACTCCCAATCCTCTTTTGTTTATCTGAACTCGGAAATGGCAGTAATTTCAGAAGGGCTCCAAATGAAGAGACTAATAATGTTATTCAACCATTAAAATGTATATAAACGAGGAAAATTACTTATCTCGAGTTTATTTTATAAGTCTTCTCTCATTTATTCTGTGTATAACATTCTGAAGAAAGTTGACTGCAATCTTTCTCAGTCTAGTTAGTTTGTCAAGTTTCTTGTAATGACTATTAATAATAGTTGATTAGAAAATGTATTCAATAAATTTCGTTCTGTTTAGGCGTTCAACTGTTTGATTCGAAGTAGGAGATCCATTTCTTTATTGAAACATGGACTGAGCATGCATCCTAAAATACAAAATTGTTTATTTAAACAATAAGTTATCATGAAGTTAATGTGTTTACCTTGTTTAAGATACAAAGCATTTTATATAATATCAGGTGCTTTTTTAAGAAAACCAATTGACAAGATGAGCTGGTTTTAGTTGTATCACGATTGAAAACTCTGAACCACTGGACGGCTGTTTTGTACAGTTTAGAACTCTCCACCAGCTCGTAATCACCACACTAACAGAGACAGAACCAAGGATTCTCATACATTACGATAAGCACATTACCTTTAGACTACTCAGTTGATATGTAATGACCGGTATTTCCCACTTTATTTAATTCGTAATATTGCTTCATCATCATTATCCAGCAATGCAATGTTTAATTATGATTGAATTCCATTGGTCACAGCTGCTCTCTTTAAAACAAACCGATAATTCTTCTCTAGGGATTTCTTAATGCAAACGACTTTCTGTGTTATTTTACTTTTGTAGTTGAAGGTCTATCATCGTGATCCATTTAAAAAGGATTCTTACATTGGTCGGACGCAATTCGGGCTAGTGGATTTAGATTTAGACAAGTAGGCATATATTGATATGTTTTTAAAAAAAAACTTTTTAACATGTACCATAGACACACCATAAACACAGTTGTGCAAACAGGAAATAACAATCAATGAAAAATAGATTAAGTGTAATATGTCAAAAATAACCAAACGTTCCAGAGAGCACACACGGTAAAAACTACTGGATTAGTAAAAGAAAGTATAAAAGGAATCAGAACATCGGAGTATGAATATAATCGGATAGAATAAGAGGTTTATTGTCAGTTAGGGGTTGAGAAGACTGTTGAATTTCACTGAAATCATGAGTCCATTTAAGTCAAACCATCAGTGAAAATTCGAAAGCACTGGACGGTCGTTTCGTAATATGATGGGACTTCTGAGCAGTGTACATTCACGACCTCGTATGTGGGGTAGTTATCATTTAGTCACCAATGACTAGCTTCGAGTGGAAATTTCCAGAATTCCGGTTAAAATCCATGGTTAGCAGATCTGATACGTGTCTTCTGTGAGGCAGTTACTCATACACTGATTGAAATTAGATGTTAAAATACCGTCGAATGCCGGCTCGGTGATCTAGGGGTTAATTGTTTGCGCGTGAAATCAGAAGTCCTGTGTTCGACCCCTGCTTGTAGGATCGTAGATGGTCACTGCCTAAAAAAGCCTCACTAGGACGAAATAGCTGCCGATTACTTCTAAGTTTTGATTGGTGGTTTAGCTCAGACCGGTTCATGATTCCAAATAGGTTTACCCGTTACAATTTGAAATACACCATCAAATTAGCTGAAATTATTCAAACTACTGATTTTTATTAAGTAGCTTAACACATATAGGAATAGTCAATGAAAAGAAAGACAGTTACAAATCGAAATAATAGTTTGGCATGGAAGTATTGTAATCGCCACCATGTTTGTAGTGTATTAGTCCCAACAAGTTCATCTTCTGCATGATTTCTATAATAAATTATTAGAAGTAAGCGTTGGCGATACATAGTTGCGATATCGTAAGTGAGGCAACCTATTTATACGGATAAAATTAATATTTTAGAACTGAAAAGGGTTTTATTACACTAGTCTAGAAGATTCAACAACTGAAGAAACTCAGCATCCAACCAAACCGGTAAATATTGTATCTCAAAAGATTTAAAAATTCTATATTTGATTTTGCATTACTAGTTGAAGTTGCATGCTACTAAGAATTCATGTGTTATAAAGAAAAAATCTATTTCGGTTAACAATTGTTTTTAATAGTTCTTCATCGGACATCACCTCATAATTGAAATGACCTTCACTTACTTGTTAATACTCACAACTATTCAGAACTGGTATTATATATATAGAAGGAAGGCCGAGACGATATGACTAATCATTAACAGTAAATACGAAACGATACCTGAATAATATCATATGGGTTTCTTGGGGAGATTGTAGTAATTTCAATGGTTAAGATCATGAGTCAGTTGAAGCTAGACCACCATGGATAATCTGGAATCACTGAACGGCCGTTTCGTCCTATTGTGGAACTCCTAGGCAGTGCGCATCCACGATCTCGCCTCCTGCGAAATGCGAACCCACGACCTATCAGTCTCGCGCCTGGTGCTTAACCAACTAGACCTCTGAGACGGCATCAACGGTGTTACTGTCTAACTTCAACTAATCCACGAAATTGAGTGACACATTCACCATTGTCTTCAGTCAGTTATTATCTCACAACAGACCTAGTTGAACTCCAGCGGTCACTAATTCTCACTAGAACTCCAGGATATACCTCGTGAAGCCAGTCACTAGTGAGCATATGTTGAATAATATCAGATGGGTGTTATGTGGAGATTGTAGTACTCGCGCACGAAACCAGTAGGTCCTTGGTTCAAATCTCTCAGAGGGTGAGGTCGTGAATGTGCACTGCCGAGGAGTCCCACAATAGGGCGAGAAGGCCGTTCAATGATACCAGGTTTTCCATGGTGGTCTAGCTTCAACTGACTCATGATCTGAACCATTGAAAGATACCTGAACACTTAATGTTTTACATGTTTCATTTATGTTGATCAATGGTTAGGTTTAAATAAATTGATTTGAGTGGCACTAGACATTAATTAATCAATAACTTAATGTTTGAATAGGATATACAATAAAAATTACATAATCAACAAATGCAACTAAGGTACTGAGTCATTTTATAAGTCTTTTCTGATTATTTATTTATTTATTTATTTATTTATTAGTTGAAGTTAGACACTAACATCGTTGGATACTGGCCAGCTCACTGGCCTGAAAGTTAGGCGTTCGCGTGTGAGACTGATAGGTCCTAGATTGAAATCTCGCGAAGCCGGATCGTGGATGTGTGCTGCTGAGGAGTCTCATAATAGGAGGAAGCCACCGTCTAGTGCCTCCAAGTTTTCCATGATGGTCTAGCTTCAACCGTCTCATGCTCTCAACTGTTAAAAATTATCTATTTATTTATTCAAGCACATAAACATTGGTACAAGGAGGCACTAAATAATAGATATACACCATATAAATCATTCGATTTGTGTGATTACTTGGGATACTGCTCCGGTACCCAAACTGAGGCAGGTAATAATAGTATGTTTAATGTATATTACAGTCTGTCAGTCAGCTACAACGTAAGACCAGGCACATATATGCATCAGTCCAAGTTGCCATAACTCATTAACACAACAAGATGAACACCGGATTCATAAAAATAGTTAATTCAGAGGTGGTAATATATAAAAGAAAGTGTTAGGATAATCGGAAAAATATACCAATAATTATCGTGTTAAATCTACGGCGGCCTTGAACCTTAAATGTACATTTCTTATTGGTCGATGTTTATTTCACTTGTTAAATATTGTACAAATGTTGTTTCCTATTTTATGGTACGATGTGGTTTGTTTGCTTGGTATATAAATAGAGTATGTTTGAAATACAATGATTCATAACTCCGAGGCTGTGACTTGTGTTCTTCACTCAACTGGGCTAGGACGGACAGCGAAGCAGGGCCAATCAGGACACTAGGTCGTCCGTACGTGTTTTCCGTGTCACTGTCACAGATCGCGATCGACATATAAACGCTGCGTATCTAAAACCTGCAGTCCCACTCACCCGTTACAACAGAAAGATTGCAATAAGGATATAGTACAGGAAGAAGGAATTAGTTCGTAGAAAGAAAGAAAGATGTGAAGCGATTTTAATCTCTTAGTTTAAGGGAAGACAGAGAGTGTATACACTGACGCCATTATGATCGATTCTGAGCCATGTCACCCAGAGTCTCCAACCATTGGTTACGATAGTCACGCGGACTCCAACCAAGTAGTTTGCATCTACCAACATGGCTCAGACTAGGAGTGAGTGAGTTCAAGCACTGATGCCACCTTTTGGTTTGGCCACCCCTAAGTGAATGATGAATTCAATTTCTGTAATGCTTCCATTACTTTTTTCATTATTAAATAATCTCTAATTATATTGTTTTGTTTTTTAATGTTTTCTTAATAGAGAATATGAATTTTTATCAAAATTAGAAAATGATCTCAATAAAAGTATGAATTCAGGTGAAATTAAATTCTATGTAACATTAAGTGAAATTAGTGAAACTTTTATTGATAATTCAGAGTGTAAAAAATTGAAAAAGAAAATGAAAGAAGAAAAATCTCGTGTATTTGCTACGGAATTCTCATCACAAATTCCTGGTACAACCACATCAACGGTAGATATTGTTTAAGTATTTTAATATATATCTCATTGTGTTTTAATAACCTACTATTATTGTTACTCCATATTGTTATAATTTGTCATTTGAATGCTTATTGTGATTAGATGGTGGTTGGAGGTAGTGCTATTTAGCACTCGTCAGCATGGTTGATCTGTAATCTTGAGGGAACTGGTGCTCCCTGGGGGATTCGATCAACCAATTGTGATTACATCTCAGTCCTACAAGATGTCAGTCGCCGCTCGGATAGCTCAGTGGTAACGTCTCTGGCTGTGAAGCTGAGTGACACGAGATCGAATCCGCCATGGATCACCAGTTCCCTCAAAATTACAGGTGCACATTGCTGACGACTGTCAAGTAGCACGAAACCCGTGTCCAGGGTTTCCTGTAGAATATATCCAACCACCATCTAATCTCAATATATAATGCCCGCAGTGTCGAGTCATCTAGACTGGTGGCCACGTTGCAACATGATCGATAGCATTTGATCTGTACTAATAAGGACTAGACACGCATGACATTGATCGCCACCCAGTGATCAATCGAATGCTTGTTGTCTTGGCTCTTTTAATGCTACATTTGTATCTGGTCGTCGCTGAATGTTATGTCGGAAACGCTTATCACATATACTCGGAACGAGAGACCTCTGCAATTCGCACGATGCGAAAGTAAGAACACAAAGACTGGTATAAGTGATGATTTATTAACCCCCAAAACACTATGACGACGACAACAACCCTAGTAGAAAATACACTCATTTATAAATTGATTGTACACCCGTTTTGATTAATAATTAGGATGAAATCACATATATGAAACATACTTAGAGTTATAACAAATCACAGACTGAGCGTGGTTCATGTCAATCGGTTACAAGAATATCGCATATTATACAGAATAAAATGTCATACGAGAACAGAAAACAAATACTACATTGAGTAGCCATTACATTGAATCAAACGGAAGTAATCTTGAACAAAACTTAGAATGAGTAAATCAATCGAAAATTGACTATTCTTTCCATCATATCAGAAACAAAATCACATTGTTCTACCTAATATAGTCTACATTACGTTCTTAAATTTTCAGTTACCACCTCTGTGATATACTCATACCAACTAAATTGTGATTGGCTGGTGAGAAGTTAGTTTTTATTGTCGACCCATTGTCATGTAATCTATCAGTCGACCGGAACACGTTTTGTAGTATTGTACTTCGATCTTTTTCTTTTATCTTCTTTGCCAATCGGTCATTGAATTAAGTATATTCTGGATCATTCAATTAGTATAGTCTTGCTTATTACTTCACCCGTGTTTTAAATCACTCATCACTTGATAATTCACCTTATTGCTGTTCGTTCACGTTCAGCGACCGATCATATTTTAACTTCATTGCCACATAACGAAAAATGCCATCTACATAACTCTCATATATAAATGAGTTTTCTCGATTATTGGCGGCATTTTTCAGGTTGGTAATGAAGCAATTACTCAAGAGGGAGCATGGTGGTGAACTGAATGCATTTCTATCAGTTTGTCTGTAGGAATCATTATTAAATTTGAACTGTACATTGAGTACGTCGTAAAAGTAGCTCCTTTTGACAAATGTTTTCGTATACAAATATGCAAGTCGACGTTCATTTTGAAAGAAGAATGAAAAACAGTCACCAGTTCAATACAGATACATCTAATAATCTCTGAACACGTCGCTCCAAATGAATCTTCCTTCAAAATAATCTACACAATTAAAGAAACTACATCGAAGGGAGGACGAATCAAAAACTTACGCACCGTTGAGGCATTAGCGATTCACCAATTCAAGCACAAACTTACTGTGCACAAACGACACATCCAACCTGTCATTGTTCCTTAGCCCTCACTCCCTTCTCCACTATGTTTTGCTCTTGTTTTCCTATCTAGCTTACTGTTCTGTAATTCTAAACCATAATCAGTTATTACTATCCTTCAAAAGTCCTTCATGGTTAGTTATTATTCACTTATCATTATGACCTTAATTCTACTCAGTTTCCTTCATATCTGTTCAGTGGACAATTATCTTTTATAATTCTCAACCGTAAATTATTTTCATCGTCCTACACTACTCTCACGCTCTGATTATAACTCAACCTCCTTTGATATTTCGAGTCTCGAATCCCTTTGTCATGCAATCTTCTCTACCTTTCTATGAGCATATATTTACCAAACAACTACAAATACGAGTGTACAGCTTAAGTAAATGATTTCATTGTAAAGGCAAATTTCTTCAGTGAATTGTAATTATTTTTATTTGATGACACATTGGGTTTTGTTTTAATTAGTTGAATATATACCTTTAGTTTTGTAAGACATTAACAGTTATTCAATAAACACTAATTACATTTAGATGTTTCTATCATCATGAAGGAACTGCAAACCTCTGTGAAAGTCTAAAATCTTCTGATTGATTACTTTGAAAGCGTAAAAAATTAGTTTATATCGTTACTAACACGTAGATATTGATATTGAAAACAGCAGGGAAAACAACACTCACCTATCAAATGAAATGAATGAAATGTATTCCCTGTTCTTCTGTTCTATTGTTTTTATCGCATAGATGTTAATGGTTTACTTAGGGAAAATACACATGTGTTATATAACGGGAAATAGATTTAATTATTCACGATTCTATACTGATCGCTATATCTAAACATCACAACCATTGATCATGTGACACAATCGACTCGGTAATTCGATCAACGTTCAAACACTACGTTAGAACAGAATGAGAATTAATTACGACACAAATACAAAGCAATGAATAATCGAAATCAAAGTGGAATGAATTTATACATGATAAATAGTCTCTTTTGTGTTTGTTGTATTCGAATGAGCTTATGTTCCGTCGTTGACCCGTCACTGTCTACTTTCCTCGGACTCATCCATTCCAAACACTTAGTTTTGTTACCAGTATGAATCTCTTCGATTATATTATATATAATGTTGCATCAGCTATGATATATTCGTACCAATCCTTTGGTTACTGGATAGTAATAAATGTTATGCCATATATATCTTACTGGTGTTTATCGAAATAAATCGATTATGTTTTAATATGACAATGAAACTATTACAAGTCATTAGGCTTAGTTATAACGTCTATAACCAACTCAATGGATGATATGACTTTGAATATTTGATAAAACAATTCTTTCAAGATTAAAAAAATACTCCTTTCTTGAAGAATACTGATCATCATTAAAAGAAAAACGGTCTAAACTCTGAACTCGTAATAATCTCTTCAAAAGTATAGTTGATATGATGGGAAGATTTTTGTACAACATTAATTCCGTTTTAATTCAATTTGATGTAGGATTCGGTTTTGTTTTCCTTTATGGTATTCTGCATATTTTGTATAACATACGATATTCTTGTATTAAGTTAACATAAACTATACTCAGCATAGGATTTGTTATATCTGTCATCTCATCCTAATTATTAATCAAATATGGGTGTATATATCAATATATAAATGATTGTATTCTCGACTAGAGTCATCGTGTTTTTGGGGTTAAAAAACCATCACTTATACCAGTCTTTATGTTCATACTTTTGGGTTGTGGGAATTGTCGAGGTCCTTCGTTTCACTTACAAATGATATAATATCCACAAAACCCATCTGATATGCTCACAAGATAGTGGCTTCAAGAGGTATATCCTGGAGTTCTAGTGAGAAGTAGTGACCAGTGGGTTCAACCAGGTCTGTTGTGAGATAGTAACTGACTGAAGACAATGGTGGATGTGTCACTCGATTTCGTGGATTAGTTGAAGTTAGAGATTAACATTGTTGGATCCCGACCGGCTGAGTGGTCTAGTGGTTAAGTGCTCGCGCGCGAAACCAGTAGGTCCTGGATTCGAATCACGCAGGAGGCGAGGTCGTGGATGCGCAGTGCCTAGGAGTTACCGACAATAACAATCAGCGACAACCAAACATAACAAGTAGCGTTCAATCGGCAAAACAAATCAATATTATATATGAATTCATCCATATTTTATTAGATTCCAATATCTGAATTGTTTTATTATGGAATATCTGTTTGTTTGATTCTTATAGCTCACTCAATCTGATAATTATTCTGTAGCAGAAAATATCGATGTACCAACTTTACGTTCAGGAATTATTAATAATTCAGTTGTAAGTTTAATATCATTACGAATATTTTCGAATAATTTTTCTGTTTAGCGTTTTTTTAGCGAGTTAGTTTTCTACGGGATGGGGTCGCGAACCCCATGCCTAACTCTCCTCCTTTATGAGGGGTTGGGACCGGCAGTATCCCCCGGAGGGACTGCAGGTGGAGTTACGAATATTTTAGATAAATCCAAAATGTATTACTAATGGTCAGGATATTGGGGTTGGTGTCGTTGTTTTTGTTTTTCGAGAAAGTTTTGAATTTTATCACTAATACAATTTTATAATGAAATGATGACAAATAATGACTGTTACCCTCTCCTGGGTACAATATTTCACTGAACCAAAGAATATTAGAATATAAAGTCCAATCTATTATTTCGATAAACATATAGGAAAAAGCTTGTTATTTTTATCACAAACTAGTATGAATCAGTATCTTAATTACTTACTTACGCCTGTTACTCCCAATGGAGCATAGGTCGACGACCAGCATTCTCCAGCACACTCTGTCCTAGCCCTTCATTTCTAGTTCTATACAATTATTGATCACTTTTCTCATGTCTTTCTCCATTTCTCGGAGTAATGTGTTATTTGGTCTTACTCTTTCCATTTGACCTTGAGTATTCCAAGTGAGGGGTTGCGTTGTGACTCAGTTTGGTGCTTTCCTTAATTTGTGTCCGATCCACACCCATTGCTTCTTCTTGATTTCTTCCTCTGCTGGAATCTGGTTTGTTCTCTCCCACAGTAGGTTGTTGTTGATAGTGTCTGGCTAACAGATGTGAAGTATTTTGCGTAGACAACTGTTAATAAACACTTGTATCTGAATGAATCAATATCTACAGTGAAAAAAATTTTCCTACTTAATTGAACAATTGATCTAAAAGGTTGATTTAAACTGTACCCGTTTTTGTCAATTAAATTATTTGTAATAACAGCATTTGTTACCACCTCTTGAAACGGATTCAACATTTACACACTTTTTTATCTTAATATCAACAAAATATTGAAAACACTAATGGTTAATTTACCTTAGACGAATATTTACACTAGATTCCCTCCCACTGTCTATTCTACAGGACGTCAAGACAACTGAGACCAAGAACACATGATTAGCATGACCACAACGTAAATATATTTCCACATCGAAAAGCTGACAACAATCCGACACAATCCAACAGCAATCGATAATCAGTCAATAATAATAAGGACAGGACTATATATAACTCCTCTAACGTCTGTCAGATTATCTACAAGTCTGACTAAACAAACCAACCAATCATTATCATTCTCTATTGAGATCATGAACCGATTGATGTTAGACCACCATTGGAAACCTGGAAGCACTGGACGGCCGTTTTGTCTTATTGTGGGACTCCTCAGCAGTGGTCTAACACCAATCGGTTCATGATCTTAACCAAAAACTTAACAATCTGCACAACCCCTAAACTGATCCTTATCATTCTCGCCCACACGTCACATTTCAAATTAAAGAGATGTGGAAAAGTTAAGTACATTAACACCGTTGGATGCCGGCCAGCGTACTGGTCTAGAGGTTAAGTGCTCACGCAAGACCAACAGGTTCTGGGTTCGAGTCTCGCTAGACGGGATCGTGAATGAGCACTGCTGAAGAATCCTACAATAGGACGGAACAGCCGTCGGTGCTCCCGGATTTTCCATAGTGACCTAACTTCAATGAACTCATAATCTTAACTACTAAAAATTACTATAATATCCATAAAACCCCTTCTGAAATTTGTCTTTACTTTAAGATATACAAAAATTATCGAATAGAAATTATAAAAAGAATAGGGGGATTTCAAAATTATTGACTCTTCAAGTACTTTTTACACAAAATAGAAAAATTAATTTTAAAAACAAAAATATCAATTTACAGTATAAGATAAACCAATGGGGTTGGAAAATAGAAGAACAATTACGTCAAGTGCTTTCCGTAAGTGATAATACTTTTATAAATTATTATCTTTTTTGATTGAGATCATGAACTGATTGATGTTGGACCATCATTGAAAACCTGGAAGCACTGAACGGCCGTTTCGTCCTATTGTGGGACTCTTCAGCAGTGCGCATCCATGATATTATCCTTTTTTTCGATTCAGAAAATAGTTCATTCATTTCCATCAACCCTCGAGAAAAAAAAATTAAACTTAATAGTAATCAATCTATACGCGACTATATTTAAGTTTTACTACAATTCTATGATCTCTAGTATTCATATTCAGTATTTACCCATATTTTGAATATACAATGTACTAGTTGGTATTTTGAGTTGTTTGTTTTTCTATAATGTTGTTACTGTATTGATGTTACACTGGATTAGATCAGATTTTACTCATTTAGACTATTGGTCATACTTCTTACTCTCATATTGATTGTAGTTTTGCCTATATGTAGACCATGTTTATCCATAATGTTCAACAAAGTAAACACACATAAGTGAAACCTAGATAAATGTAGACTGTTAATAGATCTCCTCTAATCACTAAACAACAAAATAATCAATAATTATAAATTTCAGTTAATCATATATCTCAGTGTTTTGTCAATCGGCTTCAAACCACTTGGTTACTAGTAAGTAGTTCAAACAAAATAAAATTATGATGACAAGTTTTGTAGAGAAATGATCATGATTAGTACTCATTTCATCTTTCAACTAATTAAAGGTTGTCAACTACAAAGTATGCCAAAAAAACCGATACTGCTATTCTGATTTCTTATGGTTAGTTTCATGATTTTTATTACCACTTCCAAAGAGCTTTGTACATATATTTGGTTCCGATTTACACTTACAGACACGTTCTCAGCAATATAATCCACAATCTAATCAATCAAACCATGATTCAACAGAAATCGTGGATTTCATAGAAGACTTACAAAATGATGATGGGCAACCAAATTTATCAAAACAAGGAGACAAATCTTTACAAAGTCGTGTTGAAGACAACTGGACGGAACGAAATCAATCTTTACTACCTCAACCTAAATGGCCGTATAATTTTTATGAAGGTACTAGCCTAGAGTTGTACACTAGCAAATGTCAAGGTGATACGAATGAAAGTATTGATAAACTATATACATTGAATAATGAAATACAAATGGAGAGTTTGTTTCAACAATCCCGTTTAATAGTTACGTTGGTCGGTGCAAAAAATTTAAAAGTACGAACTAAACTAAAGAATGTTGTTGCTGTCAGTGAGGCCGATACTTGTAAAGCACCACGTGGTCGATCAACAAGAAGCCATCCAGATCATACACTAAATGGTTTAGATGAAGAAAAAAACAATTTACCTTGTCCAACAGTGTTTTTAACTGTTGGAACCAAAACACATCAAAGTAAAGTAGGTTGAATAAATCATACATTAGCGATTTAAATATTCTTAGAACTGATTATCATCAATAAAATATAACATTTAACCGAATCATTTCTCAAAACAATATGTTGGACTGTATCGATATATCTTGTCTTAGTAATATAAAGGAAAATAGTTTTTATCATACGTTTTATTACCTAACAAATAAATTGATATCGGAAGGGGTTTTTGTGGATATTACAGTAACGTCATTAGTTCAGCTCATCAATCAATTGAAGCTAGACTACTATGGAAAACCTGGAAGCACTGGACGACCACTTCGTCCTCTTGTGGGACTCCTCAGCAGTGTTCATCCACGGAGTCCCACGATAGAACGAAACGGCCATCCAGTGCTTCCAGGCTTTCCATGGTAGTCTAGCTTCATTTGACTCATGATCTCAACTATTGAGATAAATTGATATTTTTCCGTATTTAAAGAAAGCATCACTGTAATTTGTAAGGCAATAAATCATTAAAATGCATTACAACGGAAAATAAAATACAAATATAGTATAACTGAGAACAGTTCTTCAAAGTATGACAAAAAGGCCGTTGAGTTTTGATGTCTTCACTTCACTTCCGGAAGAATAGTCATATATATATATATATATATATATATATATATATATATATATATATATATATATATATATTTAATTTTGGGGAACTTTAGTGTTTCATTTTAGATAACCTATTAGTTTTAGGGGAGAAATGTTGTTGTTTGTGTAATACCATTTTAAATGTGGTGAAAAACAGTAATATGAGCTATTTTGAGCAAAGATACATAATTTCAAGCAAAGATGGATAGTGGCTAGCAGTAGAATCCAGGATGCACGCTTCATCCTATTTGGGACTTGTCAACTGGATGTACCTGCATCTCGGACTTGTTGATGTTTACCCCGGGCCTCGAACCCAGTACCACTTGCTTCAAACAGCATCACGTTATTCACTTAGCTACTGAGTCCTGATAGCCACGTGTTTTTGCAATGGGGTGAAGTTTAAATTTACAAGCTTTTTGTGCAAAGTTGCATAGTGGCTAGCAGTGGAATCCAGGACGCGGGTTTCGTCCTGTTTGGGACTCGTCAGCTGGATGTGCCTGCTTGTGACTTAAGATTATATCGAGACAATCCGCACAGGATGCACATATGCCAACAAGAGACTGATCGATTACAGTTCTAAATAACAATGGGAAGATACAAGTAAAACAATACCAAGTGAATTTAGAGATACATACTGGTCATACTTCTGAATACTTTGAAGGAAGTTACAGTCAGAAAAAGGATTGAGATCATTTAAAATGGTAAATTAAACCAATCAAAACACCTCAAAAATATACTGCTTCTTTGTTGTCTACAACTAATGAATATTCTATATTCCCATCAGGCTTCCATAATGAGTGAATTGTAGTCATTTCTATCAAATAATGAAAATACATTTTACAAGATAAGAAATGTTTAGGTTTCAAGGAGGAGATGTAGAAATGTTTCATGTTATTATCAACTACCGATTTGAACTATTTTAAACGATAGTAAACATATGAACATTGAAATTAATTATTCTGATGGTTCTTCGTTGTCTTTATACACCGTGATAAGTAATATGTAAACAAGTTGATGATATATGTTTTTAGTCTTGAGCATTTAATTAGTATACAGTTATTCATTCTCAGCCTCAGTTTTCACTTCATTTTTTAAATAATACTTTAGATAACATTATTTAATCGTTCAGGTGTATTAAGTGATCCACTTACTTACTTCATTACGGCTGTTACCCCTCGTGAAGGAGCAAAGGCCGCCCACCAGCACTCTTCAGATTATTTCTTGAACTGTTTTATTACATTAGTCTTTTTTTTAAGTGTCTGCTGGTTTAAGGACATATTATGGACTTGTGATTTATTGTTGTTACTACCGATAAACCTGATGTTTCTGATATTTTAAATGGTGTTGGATTTGAATCCATATCAATGAATGTTATGTTCAGAAATGTGATCACTCACTTGTTAGGATCATTAATGACCTCCAATATATGTGATATATTTGCACTCATTGATCACATACTAGTAGTAATTAATTTCGTATTAACCAGATCTTAATGCTAATCAAATACTACTGATAAAGTTGTGGAATAACCACAAGTCGATGTAACCAAAAGTCACAATATGTCCATAATACTTGAACTGTTGCATTTTTTTTAATGGTCTCTAACTTTTTAACACAAAAATGTACCGAATTGTATATCTGTATCAGTTGTATACTTTGCATGCGTCTTATTTATACCGGCAAGGTTGTAATGCATACAAAAAATCCATTATGGAATGAACGATTTGAATTTCGTGTTCGTCCTGGAATGAGAACAGTACTTCAGTGTGAAGTATTTGATGACTCACATCAAAATACCAATCTGCTCGGTCGGTAAGTTATACTAAAAAGCTTTGACTGAAGTTATTTGCCTTGTTTAATTAGATAAATACATACAATGTTTAGTGTGGCTACATCTATCAATATTCATATACATTAGAAAACTTTTATAGTTCAGTATGATGCTCAGATGATGACGATCGTGGATCACACAAATGATTTGTATTACTGTTATATTTTCTGAAATAAGTGATCCACTGTTGCGAAATGAAATATTAAACTAGACATCATAAACAGCATCAGCTTTTTGTCAAAAAACCCAGTCATTAGATAAGATATGAACAGTAAGACTAACAATATGTTCAAATGATCTGATATGGTAGTTAGGACGATTACGAGGATCAATCATGGAAGCTAGAGAAAAGCTTTATAAATCCACCACTGAAACACATAATGTTTGTTGAACTGAAACCTAATTATGAAGGTACTTTTCATCACTAGAGATCTGTTAAAAGATTAAGAACAGCTCATGTCAATTCATGATGAAAGATGATTTTCAATTAAACAAATTTGTATCAGAAGGGGTTTTGTGGATATTATATTGATTTCAGTAGTTGAAATCATGAATCAATTTTAGCTAGATCTCCATGGATGGTGGACTCGTCAGGTGGATGTACCTGCATCTCGGACTTGTTGATGTTTACTCTGAAACTCGAACCCAGTACCCTTCGCTTCAAACGCCATCGCGTTATCCTCTTCATTTCGTACTTTAAATTAATCGAGTTTATCTATTTAACTACGTCGAACATTTTATTTTCCTTTAACTAATGTCATCCACTTTTTATTAATGTGAATTCAGATTTTATTTAGATTTTTCGAAAATTGTCCTTGACTGGACAACATGTTTCACACTGAATAATCAAGATGGTCGAGGTCATGGTGAATTACATATTTTAGCTACAATGACCGGATTATTTCCAATTTCCAATGCCACTATTCCTAGAACATTTTCATCAGATCAGTTAAAATTAGAAACTGATTCAATTTATGGTGATTTGTCTAAAGAATCTATTTCGAAAAGCACATTAGATCAAATAGCTGAATATTATGCAAGTTACTCGTATACAACAGTTTAAATAATGTGAATATAATGTTAATTATTGCCTGTTTATGTTGTGATTTGGAGCCCATTTCAGTTACCGTAAGCACTCCTAACTATTGACCAATTGAAGCAGACCAAAATGAGGGAATATAATGGTAACATAAGAAATCGTATTAGCAAAATCTAGATCAAAGTACTTATATGTATATAACAGATCTACAAATAACTTAGACAGAGATATATGAGGATTGGCTTTGAGTAGGTCAACAAGTCACGTACTCGCCTAAGCTCGATTACACATATATTTGGATAACCTAGAGGCTTCAAGACACTACTTAGCTATCTTAAATAGTTGAGATCTTGGAATTACATATTATTTACCGGATAATATATCTTTTAGTTTCTATCATGAACTTAATCGGGCTAAACAACTGTTGGAAATCAGAGAGCACTAGACAGTTATTTTGTCTTAGGATGGTTTACATCAGGAGTCCCAATACGTGCCCCAGCAATAATTGAACTTAGGACATTCGTGTTTTGTGACAAACGTATCATTTATGGACATCTGACATGACATGCGCTTTTTCAAGTTTCCAACTTTAGTGAATACGAGGAAAATGCACAAACACCATCGATTGCCATTTATGATAGCTGTATAACGTTTATAATAGTTGGACTCCTCTAGTTATTATTTTTCACAAGAACATTAGGAATTTTTTAGAAAGTTAGTCAGCTATGAGCACATGATTGACGTCAGTATAGACTGCTCGTGGATTATACTGTTAATTGGCTCATGATCATTTGATTGACATTAACTTGATATTTAGTCATGCAAACCATAAATTATTCACCGACATTCTATTTCTCAGCACGGATTCGAAAAGATCGTTTGGCTTTTGCCAACTTACGTCACCTATGACGAAGGCGAGATATCCGTCTATCAATAAAAGGACGAGTGTACTGCGCGGCAGTCCGTTTTGTTTTAATTTACGGCAGCAAAACATGGCCATTAAGAGTAGAAGACACTCGTAAGCTACTAGTATTTAACCACAGATGCCTTAGAAATATTGCTGGCGTATGCTAAGATCACCGGGTAAGTAATAGTGAGGTTAGATGCAGGGTATTAGGGAATGATGGTAAATCAGTTGATGAGGTTGTGAATCTTCATCGACTGAGATGGTAGGGTCACGTGTTACGTATGCCTGAACACCGATTACCACGACGTGCAATGCTAATCGGGGTAGGGGATGGTTGGAAGAAAGTTAGGGGCGGCCAAACCAAAACGTGGCATCAGTGCTTGAACTCACTAACTTCTAGTCTGAGCCATGTTGGTAGATTCAAACTACTTGGTTGGAGTCCGCGTGACTATCGTAACCAATGGTTGGAGACTCTGGGTGACATGGCTCAGAATCGATCATAATGGCGTCGGTGTATACACTCTCTGTCTTCCCTTAAACTAAGAGATTAAAATCGCTTCCTATCTTTCTTTCTTTCTTTCTTTCTACGAACTAATTCTTCCTTCCTGTACTATATCCTTATTGCAATCTTTCTTTTATATATTACCACCTCTGAATTAACTACTTTTATGAATCCGGTGTCCATCTTGTTGTGTTAATGAGTTATGGCAACTTGGACCGATACATATATGTGCCTAGTCCTAGGTTTGTAGCTGACTGACTAACATTCTGTTTAACTATATTATACTAATGTCATTGTTATATCTTACTTTACAACCAAATCATTTAAACCATAAATAGTTTTACAATTGTACGAAACAGATATCGATAACTAATAGTATATTAATAAAAATATGTAATTGAATAGTCTTGAACAGAATGAATTAAGTTAATTATATGTATGACACATATGGTGTATGTCTATTATCTCTTTCTACCCGGTCACATTTTAACTTTAATAAGAAGAAAGCTATAAGTAACATCAAATATGATGAATTATTATTATTATGCTGTTTGCTTGTTAACAAAGTTATATATCTAGTCATATATATTTCATAACTTATAACCATTATTCTTATTCTTCAAATTATATCATAATGATCATTATAGAAAATTAGAAATACACTTCGAAAATGGTCAGATGTCGGCTGGTTACATATTGTTGGTAAGTGGTCATTTGAATTTCTTAAAAGTTAACATACATAAAAGTACAAATGGTACTCATGGTAACATTTTCAATAATGTAATTTAATTTTCTAAATTTTATCAATGTTATCAAATAGTGGTATTGAGATAAGGTTGTAAGATGTTAAGTTCAATGTAATTGATAGGTATCCTATCATCATTGAATGAAGTACATGATGATCTTTTAGTAAAAGATGAATCTAGAAGAAAGAAAAAAGAATGAAACCTCTATGAGTCAAACATCAGTAAAGTTATTTACAGTTTATTACATTCTAAACTTAAATTGACGTTTAACCGAGTTTAAACAAGTCCTATCATACAGATATTTGGACAATAAGTAAATACTTTTTATAACGGTTATTCAGGATGTAAATACCTTTACATATTTGGGCAGCATCATTGATGAACATGGTGGATCTGATGCAGATGTGAAAGCACGGATCGGTAAAGCAAGAGCAGAATATTTACAACTGAAGAACATCTGGAACTCAAAGCAACTGTCAACCAACACCAAGGTCAGGATTTTAAATACAAATGTCAAGACAGTTCTACTGTATGGGGCGGAAACCTGGAGGACTACGAAAGTCATCATCCAGAAGATACAAGTGTTTATTAACAGTTGTCTACACAAAATACTTCGGATCCGTTGGCTGGACACAATTGGCAACAACCAACTGTGGGGACGAACAAACCAGATCCCAGCGGAGGAAGAAATCAGGAAGAATTGCTGGAAGTGGATAGGACACACACTGAGGAAAACACCCAACTGCGTCACAAGACAAGCCCTCACATGGAATCCTCAAGGCCAAAATTGGAGGAGGAGAGGAAGACCAAAGAATACATGACGCCGGGAAATGAAGATAGACATGAGAAAAATGAACAAGAATTGGATGGGATTAGAAAAGAAGGCCCAGGACAGAGTGGGTTTGAGAATGTTGGTCGGCGGCCTATATGTCCTGATATGTCCTAGGTTGGAATCTCGTGAGACGAGATCGTGAATGCGCACTGCCTAGCAGTCCCACAATAAGAAGAAACGACCGTCCAGTGATTCCAGGTTTTCCATGGTGGTCCAGCTTAAACTGACTCATAAATTCAACTATTAATTATTATTACTAGTTGATTATTGAATCATTATTTTATCTGTTCGAAGTTCAAGGTGAATTAACTTGCAGGCGTTTGGAAGTAGGCTATAAAATCAATCTCATAAAGTTTAAATGCTCACTTCTAGTGAATTCTAACAGGGTCAGTAGTAACCTTTTGATTCAATGTACAATAAAGAATGTGTTGACTTTAAGTTACAATTATTAGGCTGATAAGTTTTTTGGTTAGAACAGAATGAATCAGATACTTTTTAAAAAAATGGTATTATAATAATAATTGTAACCATGATACAGTAACATAATTGTCTACAATACTTTTGTTATAATATAACAGCCGTAATAGTACAACAGGATTGAATTTTCAGTATCAAGACTTTGAGTCACTATAACTGTGTTGACGTTATACTTATTAAAGATTGACATTTTGAACATACAATTATACAATGATTTAGATTGCTTGTTACAAAGTTAAAAGTGAAATCATGTGAACAGAATACATGAGTACAGAAAACCCTTTAAAAACAATAATACTTTTATAGTTTACATCACAGGCTAATATTAATTGAAAAAAAGGACCATTGAAAACCAGAAATCACTGGACGACTGTTTATACTTTGTATTGGACTCCTCGGTAGTGATCATCTATGATCCTACTGGGGTTCGAATCCATGACATCCAAATTCAATGATGTCCATACTAATAATAGTATTTCCGTGAATTTACGTTGTTAGATACTGATAAAAGTACTAAACATCTAATTAGTTTAATTTGAAACCCATTTATTAAGGCTGAAATTAAAGCCTTCAATTATTTTAGCAATGTAATTTTAATATGAAAGGATGTTTACAATATATAATTAGTTAGATCAAGTCACTAAACATAGTTCTGATAATCTTCGTCTTCTTATTACATTATCGAAACTAGAAGGTGTTTTACTCTCACTGCCCAACTCACGTATAACACATTCATTGGAAAAGAGAGGAAATTCACAGATTTAATTCCATTGAAGACTATGGCTTTGAAGAACTTAGAAAAAACAGCTGTCCAATTCTTCTCATCTCTTAATGTTGATTCAAATGTTTTAAGAAGAGATAGATCATCACTAAAAGTGGAAATGAATATTAATTTTAATATATTGTGAATTATGCAATAATTGTTTAAGATATAACTACGTTTCTCAAAGACAAACGATTTCAATCGACTCTACTGAAATAGTAATAGTAGTTCACTTAAAGAGAAAAACTTAATATCTTTATTATTTATTATTTATTTATTTCAACACATAAATATTGTTACAAGAGGGCACCAAATATATATGCGCCACACCATATTTGTGTGTGTGTGTGGGCTGTGACATTGCCCAGGTGCCCAGATCGAAGCAGGTGATTTTCTTAGGGGGCCACACCCCGAGCATTTGACCTAAAGGTCTGATCTACAAGGCAGTGGAGCATCGTGAGGAGATGCAGTCCCATGGTAGCCGGTGACCAACGACTGGTTCATACACCATTTGTTCCTGCGGGATACTGGAGCCCATGTGCACCATTGGTTTGGGATCCGATTAAATCGCCGGACATTCGCTTTCCGTCCTCTCATTTTCGTAAACAACATCCCCGCTACGAGTAGGCAGTGAGTAGGACTTCCCTGGCAGAGGCTGTATACGCATAGCCGTGTGAGAGCATTTCGAGAGGGAGGGCGAACCCATCCCACTCTCGGCCATACCAGGGCATTTGGGGGCTATTATCTTTATAATAGTGGAATATTTAAATAGGCTATTAAATTATGCATATCTAAATAACAATTATAGTTACATATTCAATCACATTACCAGTTAGACAATCAGTTACGTAGAACCTAGCACATATGTGCATTGGTTCAAGTTGCCATACTACATTGACATAGCGAGATCAAATTGTCAAGACAAGTCCCAGTAATAATAATAATAATAATAATAATAATAATAATAATAATAATAAAGATTTGACATAGAATGCATGTTTTTTTAAGTAAATATAGATTCCTGGAATCAGAACATTATAATATACTTTTAAATTTCAAACCCTGAGGGATTATAAAACGTGAAAACACCCACGTCAATGAGAATAATTCTGAGCCATACTGATCACAGTATTTAGACATTGGTTACTAATAATATCGTGCAGACCCTAACTAGGGAGCTTGCACCTACCTATATGGCCCAGCCAAATTATCAATGACTTTGTGGACCAATGCCACGTTCTTGTCTTATACATTCTAGGGCGTTAATCTAAGTATTTACGATTAAAGAATTTAAAATTTATTTTTTGTTTCTTGTGTACAGTAAATCGAGCGTCTAATTTACCAGCAAAAGATCGAAGTGGAAAATCTAATGTTTTCTGTGAAATAAGACTTGTTAATCGAGTTGTACGAACATTCACAGCACAAAAGAATGCTAATCCTGCATGGAATCAAGCATTTGTATTGTAAGCTTACTTCAGTTACTTTGCATTTACATCTTTCTACCTGTTCACATTGTACTATTCATATTAATTCTTACAATTATTATTATTATTATTATTATTATTATTATTATTGTCATAAAATGAAATTTCATACATCTAATAATAATAATAAGAGTAAATTTTCTTTCTAATGCTCACTGTTCAATCATTAGTAGATTGAGAAACCCAAAAATAGAAGGTCGAAACTATATTGTTTAAGTCACAATTGATTGATCACTGGGTGGTGATCAATGTCATGCTTGTCTAGTCCTTATTAGTGCAGATCGAATGCTATCGACCATGCTGCAATATGGCCACCAGTCTATGTGACTCGACACTGCGGGCACTATATATTGACATTAGAAGGTGGTTGGAGGTGGCCACATTGCAACGTGATCGATAGCATTCGATATACACTAATAAGGACTAGACACGCATAACAGTGATCGCCATCCAGTGATCAATCAATTGTAATTACATCTCAGTCCTATAGGGGGTCGGTCGCAGCTCAGATAGCTCAGTGGTAACGTCTCTGACTGTGAAGCTGGGTGACACGAGATCGGATCCGCCAGGGAGCACCAGTTCCTTCGAGATTACAGGTGCACCTTGCTAGCGAGTGGCAAGCAGCACGAAACCTGGGTCCATGGTTTCCCGTCGACTACCTCCAACCACCGTTCGATATTATTTAAGTCTTTAGACGTGCAAATATAGGTCCGAGATACTAGATTGGTTTGAAGTGTAAATTCCAAACTGTGAAACAAATCAAATTGTGAGTGGAACTATAATTTATAATACCAACTGACCGGAATTCAAAATATAAACCTTTGGATTACAACTCAGTGTTTTAATGATACTATGTCAATCGACAGACTTGATTATTCTAGATTCTATCACAAGTTTATTTGCGCGTAGACAGTGTTTTGAATGGCCGATCTGGTAGTCAGTCCATTTCAGGTCATCAAAATGACGTTATAGTATAAGCTAGAAGTGAATCGAATACACTGCAATAAGTCGATATTGGAAAATTAAAGGTTTTGATCGGTTTTGAAAGTTTTACAGTGATACAAACCTTCACATACACAAATTATTTTGATCCTGGGTTCATTTCTGTGTGATGAAGTCATGAATATCTACTACCAGGAAGACAAAATAGCTGTTTGATGCTTCTTGCTTTTCAATGGTTATCTGATTAAGAAGTAACAACATAGAAGACTAATGAAAACGATGATTTATTGACCCTTCTAAAACATCTCGTCTTCAATCAGAAATACATTCATTTATACATTGACTTGTACACATATTTGGTAATTATTCAACAGGTATAAGATGTATGAAAAATGCGCAGAAATATTGTAAGAATAAATGCTACATTTCATGTTAGAAAGAGTTCATATTACTTGAATGCAAAAAATACACTGAATCAGTATCAGACTGAAAATAAATTACTAACATGCTGTATTTTATTATTATTATTATTTAAACACATAAACATAAGTACAAGAAGGCGCCAAATAGATATGTGCCACACAAATTGTTCGATTTGTGTGAGAGCTTGGATACTGCCCGGGTGCTCAAACCGAGGCAGGTGGTTTTCATAGAGGGTCACACCTGAAGCCTTCGACCTAATGGTCGATGCAACATGAGGAGATGCAGTCTCACAGTAGTCGGTGACCAGTAATTGGTTCATACGCCATTTTCCCCCCAGGATACTGGAAACCTCGTGCACCATTGGTTTAGAATCGTGGTTTTCCAACTCCTCTAGGTGAAACCACCAACGCGGTTGAAGCAACGAACATTCTCTTTTCGTTCTTTTAATTTCGTAGACAACACCCCCTCCGCGAGAAGGCAGTGAGTAGGACTCCCCTAGTAGTGGTTGTATGCACGTGGCCATGTAAGAGCATTTAGAGAAGGAGAGCAGATTCTCCCCACTCTCAGCCGTACCAGGGCATTTGAAAGGCTGACAAAATTGTTGCATTAAAATAAAATAAGCACTTATCATATTGAAATAAAACTGGAAGTAATATTGAGAAACAGAATTACAGAATTCCTCGTTCGCTAAATCAGTTTAAAATCTCTATCTAATTTTATGATTAGAATGAGATGGATACAAAATAAACTATTCTTAACTTCATAAGCAAAAATGGATTAAGGCAATGAATTGGGGCAATATCGAGGCAATACGCATAGTATGCAAATATGCCAATAAGAGACTGATCAATTGTAGTCCTAAACATTAATGGGAAGATTAAAATAAACAATACCAAATGAATTTATTCTTAACTTCAGTTGCATGTCTTTACTGTTTATTTATTTATTCAAGTCCAATTGAAGATATGTATTCTGTTTTGGAAGTACATGTCTATGAAGAAGGCAAAGAGTCATCTGAATTAACAGGATGTATTTCATTTCCGCTCATACAAGTAAGTTAAATGAGCTTTCCATAGCATATTCTATTGTTGTTGTTGTTTTCTCTTCTTAATCGTTTACATGATATATTCATTAAAAATGTTCAATTACATTAGAAAGTAGTTTCAGTAGTTGAGATCATGAGTCAATTGAAGCTGGACCACCATGGGAAACCTGGAAGCATTGGACGGCCGTTTTCTCCTATTTTGGGGCTCTTCAGAAGTGCGCATTCACGATCCCGTCTCGCGAGACTCAAACCCAGGACATATCAGTCTCGCGCACGAACGCCTAACCTCTAACATCTACAAAAAAGCCCCTTCTTAGAAGTAGTGTCGTCGTTTGTATTTGTTCAAAGAGTGATTCATTTGTCTACATAATTTGTTAATTTTAAAAAGAATTTAATTTAGTTAGCCTACAAATTGGATATAAAACTAACTAGATGTTTTTTGGCATATACATACAAATGAGTCGGAATTTATTGCTGCACAGTCCAAACATTAGTCAATTCGAAGTGTTAAACAATAATGGATATCAGTATGGGGAGTTGTGGAGATTGTTAAGTTTTTGGTTGAGATCATGAATTAATTGGTGTTAGACCACCGTTGGAAACCTGGATGATAATATTAATTAGTCTTTAGTTGTTTATATATTCTCAGTCAAACTGTATCTAAAAACAAAATAATAATCCTGAAAATAACATCAATAGGAATGACGTTAGATTGCGTAACGGCCAAATGCTCAAAGTAAACTTATAGCTGCATACTGATGTGGCTCAGTGAGGAAGCTTATCATCAGATATCTACGAATCAAAGAAACTAATTTTGCGAACCAGGTAATATCGTCAATATCATACGGAATTCATACGACGGACTACACTGCAAAGTTTCTTGCATGAAGGATAGCTGACAAACGCATCGCCTGTGAGGACCGGAGTCAGATAAGGCTGCTAACCCTCCTCCTCTGTCTGATGGCCATCCTGATCTTGATCGTCTGTGGAGTGACATCTATAGAAGGGTCTGCATGAGATGCTTTAATATCCGGTGAGTTCAGCTGTGATGGTCTATTCAAGAGTCCCTCAAAGTGTTCTACCCACTTGTTCCACTGTTCTTGAATCTCAGTGATTTACTGGTCTTCTTTTTCCCTGACTGGTCTCTCTTACGTACTATGTTTCCATGCTAGCTTTTTCGTTGTGTTATATAGTTGTTTCATATTTCCTTCTGTTGCAGCTTCTTTCTCTATCTCTGCCAGGTCTTCCACGTATTTCTGCTTGTCGGCTCGAATCTTCCCCTTTACTTACTTGTTTGCTTCTGTGTATTCAGCTTGTATCCTGATTTTCTCTGTTCTCTTTCGGCTGATGTTAATTGCTGTCTTCTTGTTCTTCCTTTCTTGAATCTTGTATAGGGTTTCTATAGAGATCCATTCCTTATGATGATGCTTCTTGTGGCCCGGAACCAAATCTCCTGACACGTTGAAGTTAGTGCTACTTTGATTCCTTTCCAGTTGTCCTCCATAGTAGTTCCTTCTTTGAATAGATCTTATAAGGCTTGTAACCTGTTATTGAGAGCGAACTTGAATTTGTTGAGTCTGTCAGTATCTCGAAGGAAGGCTGTATTGAACATTTGTAGTGCTGTTTCTCCAGTTGTCCAATGCTTCTTCAGCTTTAGTTTCACCTTGACAACCACCAGGTGGTGGTCTGGAGCTGTGTCAGCACCGCTAGTGGTTTTCACGTCTCCCATTGACCTTGTGAATTTTTTACCGATGCAAATATGATCGATCTGGTTCTCCGTGATGTGGTCCGGCGAGATCCATGTAGCTTTGTGTGGGAATACTGTGCCACCTATAACCGATTTGCTGAATTCACATAGATTTGCAAATCTCTCACCACTTTCGTTCCTTCCTCCTACTTCATGTCGTTCGATGATATCTTCATAACCGTTGTTATCCATTCCCGACTTTGGCGTTTACATCTCACATCTGGATTGTCAGGTCCTTTCTTGAGCACTTATCTAACATCGACTGGAGCCTCTCTTAGAATTGATCTTTATCGCCATCGTTGCTATCATTGGTGGGTGCATAGTAATGGATAACAATCATTGTGATTCCTTCATTTTTTGCTTTGAAGGATTCTTTGACAATCCTGGATTCATGAGATTCCCATCCTACAAGTGCCTAACTTACTTCTTCGGATAGCATCAGAGTGTTATAACGCTCGGTTATACATCGTCTAATGTTATAGTGGTTGGGTTTCCACGTTTTCTCGCATGGGAAGTTAATGTACCTTAGACGAATATCTACAATAGATTCCCTCCTATTGTCTATTTTACAGGACGTCAACACAACTCAGATCAAGAACACGTGATTAGCCTGACCACAACGTAAATATATTTCCACACCGAAAATCCGACACAATCCAACAACAATGAACAATCAATAATAATTGAGTCACGTCAATAATAAGGATAGTGGAATATATAATTCATCTGACACCTGTCAGACTATCTATATATCCGACTAAGCAGACAATCAATCATTATCATTCTCGCCCACACATCACAAAGTAACTCGGTGAGTGTGTGCAACTTTTACTTCTTCGTGACTCGAGTACAACAGTATCTCTCCCGAATCTATCCTTTGTTGTTCCGCTTGTGTCCAGTGGGTTTCACTTATTCCGAGCACCACCAAGTTGTATCCTTTTCTTTCCGCATCTATTTGGTTGATCCTCTTGGTCTGCCACATCGTCCGAGCATTCTATGTACTTATATTAATTATTGCTCTGGTTGTTAGAAAGAGCATGGACCTCGTGACTTCCGGAAAATCTCGGCTTTCATCATGACGCATCATAATTCTTCTGAACGAAGATCCTTCAACTCAGAGGACGGAGTTTAAATGGTCTAATTTGTTTATTCTGGTTAGCGATTTTTTAGAAAGGTCTTATTCTAAGGGATAGGGTTGCCGACCCTCCTTCCTTACCCGGGCTTGGAACCGGAAGTAACTCTAGAGGAGCTACAGACAATTATCATGATTTAATAGGCGCACATTTGTGGAGTAATATTATGAATTCAACCTTATATAATTACAAGACAACATCATATCTGAAGTCATCTTAAATTTTAAATTTTATTTTATCCCGCTTTTTGATATTCTTTGTTTTGATTTTTACAGCTTGTTAATCGTAGACAGAAATGGTATGCATTAAAAGACAAATCATTGACTACATTAGCTAAAGGTTCTATTCTACTACAGACTATTATTATTTTCAATCCTGTAAGCAACTTATTGATCAATGATTAAAATGTTATTTTATTGATGTTGTTATGTTCTCTGGTCTATGTGGAATTTCATTGTCGTTCTACAAAACATCATTTATAGATTTTGGTTATATTCACCTGTTCTTTTAATATTCAAGTTGATCATATCACACGACTGACCTCTGAAATTATGGCTTACTGACCGTTTTCGTATAGGTCGATTGATTAGGTTTGTCTCATTATATCTGTTGATTGCAGTCTGATCTAAATACTAGAAATTCTATGGCACGTTAGAATTCCGGAAATTTGACTTCATCGCAGCTGAATTCATGTCCTTAGCTGATGGTTAACATTAATTGCACGGCCATTTTTGCATTTATTTACGAGTGAAATTTTTTTAAATCCTCATCTCCCAATAATTTTCATTCTGTTTCGTCCAATCAAATAGCTAGTTTCAAGTTCGTTATAATTGGTCGTTTATTTCTTAAAATTGATATAAACCGTCAGTATTTGACGACATAGCACATATGGACGGTAGTAACGCGTAAAGCGCAAAATCTGTCGTTCCCTACGTTGGCACATAAACCGGTAATCTATTCTTGAGCACATTGTATCTCGTATCAAATATCACAAAGTCTGTTGTCATACGCGTTTTCGTCATTGTCGTCCTCTCGTCCAGTGAACTCCTCTGAGTTAATCGAGACAATTTCTTCCTCGTCATTATTTAACGTTGCATCCATATGGACGTTGGTAACTTACTAAGGATGAAGGAAGATCATTGAGTGTTCATGGAAGTCCTTTATGAAAAATTGTAATAACACTAACCAAATTTCCTATTGAATCCGATTGGTGTGTTTGTAGCTTAGAAATCTGTACTACTCAATAAAATAGTGTAGTTGGCGCTTCGTTTTTGGCTTCTAAAATTCATACATAGTTGGGATTAATTTAACAACTGCTATCACGTCGATTTATATACGAAGCCTTAGGAGTTATCTCAAAGATAATCCAATACATTACTACCTAGTTACATGTATAACCACATAACGGTTTTTATGTATACCCAAACGGCAAGTTGAAAATTGATATATCGACGATTTTTAGTGTTTCACTATTACTAAATATCATGGCATGATAAAAGCTTTATGAATTCAGATTTACCTTATGCAATTATATCCATAATAGTTTTTCATATAAATTGTAACTTCAGTTATTATTTTTCGGTTTAATTCAACACGATAGGCAAGTTTGTCTACCATGTCAAGGTAGTGGCTACGGTTGGGTATTCCCACCTAACTATTTATACCGACTTCAATCGGTGGGTCTACGCCGACATCCTGACAATTGTTAGTTTTAATCTAAATGAAATCATGTTTACCACTTTATAGTTGGTCAACATCACTTGGATTATTTTAATTAAAATCCAAAGAGGTCCGTAATGATATTAATTCACATTTATATGGATCTGATTATTACGGTATATTCAACATCCCAACTGTTCCAATGATTAAACACATAACTTTCAAGTATTATAATCAGTAAATAACAGTCGATATTCCCAGTTTGAAGGAGTTTGAAGGAGTTCTGATGTTAAATTCACTTTATCGATTGCTAAAATACAGTCATATTCTGACTAATAGTGAAAGTTAATAATGTAAATTAATTTTAGAAGGGGTTTTGTGAAGATTGTAATAATTTCAATAGTTGAGATCATGAGTCATTTGAAGCTGGATCACCATGGAAAACCTGGAAGCATTGGACGGTCATTTCGCCCTATTGTGGGACTCCTCAGCAGCGCGCATTCATGATCACGTCTCGAGAGATTCCAACCCAGCACCTATCAGTCTCGCGCGCGAACGCTTAACCTCTAGATTACTGAGCTGTCCGGGATCCAACGGTGTTAGTGTCTAACTTCAACCAATCCACGAAGTTGCGCCACCGTACACCATTGTCTTCAGTGAGTTGATATCTCACAAAAAATTTCTAAAAATCTCCACAAATTCCTCTTATATTAACCACTAGATCAACAGAATGAATGAAAATGAGCTTTCATAGGACTATAGTCATTAACTATTTTCCATTTCCATTTTGTAATTCCCAGCTTAAAGCTTCAATTCGTGCATTATATCCTAAAGAAAAGCGTCTATTTGTTGAAGATAGTAAAGTTAAACTACGGGTAAGTCAGTTTCAGTGTTTGAACTAAATTTTTTAATCGTTTTTTCCGGTCAAAACTTTTTTTAAAATTTTAATCTTGTTTAACATAACTCAATGGGATCTGTATATTAGATAAACATCCAATGCACACAAACGAATTCAGATAATGACAGCCAGTGTAGCAGCAGTCTCTGAATCAGTAGGCCTCAAAATACACAAGGCGAAAACCAAGGTCCTCAAATACAACACGGAGAACAGCAATCCAGTCACTCTCGATGGAGAAACTCTGGAAGATGTAGAACCCTACACATACCTGGGAAGCATCATCGATGAACAAGGAGGTTTAGATGCAGACGTAAAGGCGAGTATTGGCAAAGCAAGGGCCGCATTCCTATAATTGAAGAACATATGGAACTCAAAACAACTGTCTATCAACCAATATTAAAGTCAGAGTCTTCAATACGAACGTCAAAACAGCCATATTGTACGGAGCTGAAAATTGGAGAAGCACAACAACCACCATCAAGAATGTACAAGTATTTATAAATGGTTGTCTATGCAAGATACTCAACATCCATCGGCCGGATACCATCAGCATCAGCCTTCTTTGGGAGAGAACAAACCAGCTTTCAACTGAAGAGAAAATTAGGAAAAGACGATGGAAATAGATAGGACATACGTTAGGCAAATCATCCAACCGCATCACGAGACAAGCCGTAACTTGGAATCCTGAAGGGAAGTGGAAAAGAGGAAGGCCAAAGAACACATTACGCCGAGAAATAGAAGCAGATATGAAAAGGATGAATAGGAACTGTCAGGAGCTGGAAATGATTGCCCAGGACATGGTTGGATGGCGAATGCTGATGAGCGGCCTATGCTCCTTCACGAGGAGTAACGGGGGTAAGTAAGTAATGTTATGGATTAGCCGAATTCTATCGATTACGTATATTGTGTGTTGATTTAACCAAAATGTGTTAACATGTTTAATCGGTATATTATATCTAATAAAAAGGTTTTGTTTATTTTAACAGCATGAACTGACTAAAAGTTCACTCTCTAAGTGAAATAAAGTCTAGTTTAGTGATTGTAGATGATAATAATAATAATAATAATAATAATAATAATAATAATAATACTGATAAATATGTAGTAAAATCAAAAACAACTTTGGAAGGTTGTGTTCAGCTATTAAAAATCAGTAATTGATTTAGATGGATGATTGTCGTGCTGTATTTCTAAATTAATGGGAGAACTAAACTCTAACTGTATAACCAAAAAGTAAGGTATTAGCCTCAAAAATTGATGATACTGTATTTAGTCTCTGGTATGGCCATGAGCATTCAATATTTCTGAATCTTATACTAGGCGAAAATCGATTGCATACTCTCAAGTAATCGAGCCAATTCGGGAGAAATTCTATCTATAATTCAATGTAATCTTCATAAATTCTTCAGTTGAATACTTTTATCTGATAATTATTTGTTCAGCAGAAGTTCAATAAAGCATGGAACTAGTTACAGTTTTATTGATCTACTGGAATTAAAATACGATTTGTAAAGCATAATGCTTATGTATTTGAATTCTGAGATTCAATTAATTGAGAGTGATTCGTGTAATTACTTTATTTTATAGGATTTTACAAAGAAGCATTTACCTGTAAGTCAGTCTTGATGACTTCATATTTTTAATGGTTATTATTGTTATCTTTAAAAACGCTAATAAAAATCAATGTTTTTGATTGAGATAATGAATCAATTAATGTTAGACCACCATGGAAAACCTGGAAGCACTAAATGTTCATTTCGTCCTATTGTGGGACTCCTCAGCAGTGCACATCTACGATCCCGCTCGCGGGATTCAAACCCAGCACCTATCAGTCTCGCGTGAGAACGCCTGAACTCTAGACCACTGAGCTGTCCGGGATCCAGCAGTGTTAACGTCTAACCTCAGCCAATCCGCGAAATTGCGCGATCATCTTCCATTATGTTGAGGTAGATACCTGTCTCTACCCAACACGGAGTAGCTCCACTGGCCACGGAGGGATCATGAATGAGCGCTGCTGAGGGGTCCTACAATAGGACGAAACGGTCGTCCATTGCTTCCAGGTTATCAACAGTGGTCTAACATCAACCGGCTCATGATCTCAATCAAAAACTTAATACTCTCCACAACCCTATATTGGAAAATCAGTGTATAAGTATATATATTACTTGTGAGTTTTTCTCAAATTCTGAAAATAATTTGGCATCAATTAATTACCAAATTTAGAACATAGTTATTATTCTAAATGATTAAAAATTATAGTTCATCGACTTTAGAGTTAGATGATTGGAAACTTTCGAAATTATCTCTTAAATCTAGGTCCTTTTACTAGTTAGCATTTACTACACTAGTGTTTCTGTAATCTTTAAAGAACCGATGCTCCATTGGAAATTCTTACCCAACTTAACCTCTTATACGTTGGAAAAGTAGTAGTAGTCCCAGATGGATTACAGTGTTTTCTAGACTTCAAGCAAAACAAACTGATGGCTTCCAACCTTAATCATTAGTAGTTTAATGGCCTCCAGTTCATTATCTACAGTCCTGTATTAATTCTAGAAATACAATTCAGTTGAATGGTGTCACAGTGAAAAGCCTAACGTCATTATCAGTCCAAATCAATTTTAGTATTATATTCATTACTCATGCTCAGGTGATCCTGATATCGACTTAATATGGACTTTGTAGCTGAGTGGTTCTTTGAGAAACATGTTTTTTTAGTTGATGGATGGTATAATATTTCGAATTACCTCTAAAAACATGTTTTATTCTGTTGGGGAGACCCGAAAAACTCGAAGAAAGCCAAAAGGGTCCCTGAAAACTGTGGATAACATTTTATTCAGTAAGCGCTGAAGAGAAATTTCTCAAAAACACCTGAAAAGTGGAAAGTCACGTGTCACATTTTTGATTGGATGGTTACCTAGCCTGTTGCTATGTTTCGTAGGGTTCTGGAACTTCCCAGAAGTCCAAGGCCGTCTGAAATGCTATAAATACCCTGAATTTTCAATAAATAAACTAACCTCGGAGTAAGGCGTACTTTCCATATTACGCGCCTTTTCTCCCATGTTCAAATTGTCGTGTAGAGTTAGCCTGGGGATATTTGGAGAGTTTAGGAAACCAATTCAAGCGTACAGTCGGAAGATATATTACGTTCCAATATAGATTGTCACCTTACTCAATTGAAACTGGTAATGCATGTTTTATTAAAATATTCGAATGTAACTTGATGTGTGGGCGAGAATGATAATGATTGATTGTCTGCTTAGTCGGATATATAGATAGTCTGACAGGTGTCAGATGAATTATATATTCCACTATCCTTATTATTGATGTGACTCAATTATTATTGATTGTTCGTTGTTGTTGGATTGTGTCGGATTTTCGGTGTAGATATATATTTACGTTGTGGTCAGGCTAATCACGTGTTCTTGATCTGAGTTGTGTTGACGTCCTGTAAAATAGACAATAGGAGGGAATCTATTGTAGATATTCGTCTAAGGTACATTAACTTCCCATGCGAGAAAACGTGGAAACCCAACCACTATAACATTAGACGAAGTAAAACCGAGCGTTATAACAGAACTTATCACATAGAATATGAACAAGTCTGTTTGCAGGACAATGAAAATATTTTTAGATTGATGAAGACAACTTTTTTTTCAAGGCCACAGAAGCACTAAACGTTTATCTAGCTTTTCGACTTTAGAAATTTGTAGTTTAACAGGACTACAACTGGATGCCGGCTTAGTGGTCTAGAGGTTAAGCGTTCGCGCACGAGACCAATAGGTCCTGGGTTCGAATCTCGCAAGGCGTGATCGTGGATGTGCACTTCTGCAGAGTCCCACAACAGGACGAAAAGACCGTCCAGTGCATCCAGTTTTCTACGGTGGTATAACCCCAATTAACTCATGATCTCAACTACTAGAATTAGCAGTACAACTCTACAAATACTTTCAACCTAATATTGTAATCAAAAAACGATTAAATTATTTACACTGAATGATTTATGCAGATCACGTAACAGTGAGAATTTGAGTCAAGAATAATGAAATTCTACCGTATTGACCGATACGCTAAAATGTTAATGCTTAATTTAGCTACTTCTTGTAAACATCTGTACAAGTTATCAGATATTTTCTAAACAAACCTGTCACGTTCAGTGAAAGAATCATGAGATATTTAACTTGACTACCTGTTCGGGATGCGATTCTACCCCTTGAAATGTAAAATGTTGCTTCAGGATTGGATTGAATCGACACACGAACTAATGATAGGGAGTGAAGTAGTAGAGCGTGTCGACCGTTTCACCTATCTTGGAAGTCTCATCAGCCATTGTGGTCTGGTGTGGGACGAAATCTCAGCACGGATACAGAAGGCTCGACTAGCTTCTGCCAAATTGCGTCATTTATGGCGTAGGCGAGATATCTATCTACCAACCAAAAAAAGTGTTTACTGCTCAGCAGTTCGTTCCGTCCTACTTTATGGCAGTGAAACATGGCCGGTAAGAGTAGAGGATATTCGTAGGTTACTAGTATTCGATCATAGGTGTCTTCGAAACATTGCTCGTATATTCTGGGACCATCGAGTAAGTAACGCATTTGTTAGGAAACGGGTACTAGGTAAGGATAGCAAATCAATTGATGAAGTAGTGAAACTTCATCAGTTGAGATGACTGGGACACGTGTTACGTATGCCCAACCACCGACTGCCTCGATGTGGGATGTTCAGTGGTATAGGGATAGGTTGGAAGAAAGATAGGGGCGGCCAGACCAAAACATGAAACAAGTCCATGAAGTCACTGATAAGTGGACTGAGTCATATCGGTAGATGTAGATTACCTGGTTGGGGACCGCGAAATGATAGCAACCGATGGTTAGAGACCTTGAATGACATGGCTCAAAATCGTTTGCAACTGTGCAGGTACATCCACTCTTTGTGTTCTCCCAGATTTTGATCTCCTTATTCCTCCTTGTCTCTTTTTTCTTTTCTCAAATTTATTTCACTGTATTATACTCCTTGAATAACATCTTCAAACACTAATTTTCCTGATTACTGCTTATACTCTTACCGCCTCTACCACTATGGGATTTGAATCGACCACTGCATCTCTGTGCTAATGTGGTGTGGCAACTCGAACTGATGTACGTATGTACGAAGTTCTACGTTGTTACTGACTGACTGTAATATTAAATAACTAAAAGTTTAGTATAACAAATATTCTCATTTTCAAGTATTTCCTCTTGTATAATATTACGACTAGTTAATTTTGACTACTCATAAACTTTCACTTATGATTATTAAAAATATTTGAGTTCATTTATGATAGTTCTCATTTCATGGTTTTTTCATTGTCTCCCTTTTATTGATTTTTTTTTCTAAAACAAAATTCTGTAGCTCTTACAACGCAATATTGATCGTCTTACACCGTATATAGATTATATAAAAAAAAGTGGACAAGCTTTTCATAAACTTTATTCATGGGAAAGACCATTTGTATCATTAATCAGTTTGATAACATTTGAATTGGCTGTTTTATATTTTCAACCATATATGATTGGTTTCTTCTTAGCTTTATTTATGATCATCATGTTGATTGTCCCAAGGATATATTCCACTTCATCATTATTATTATCTCCAACATCAATAAATTTTCTTCGATTTTCTAGATCTAAAGATTCAGATAGTGAGGAGGTAAGTGAACAAAGTGAAAAATGGCTTGTTACGTTGATTGAGTTGTGATAGATTAGTATATTTTAAAAATAGATCTAAATAATTGATTAATATAAGCTGATGAGATGTTTAGGGACAAGGTAACACTGAACAGTTGTTTTATCCTAATTTGATGCTTATAAATAGTTTTCACTCACAGTCCTAATCTCAGAGTTTTACCTAAGTATCAATATCTGGTTTCCTTTAAGGAAACTGTCGTGTATTTGTTTACTGGTAAAATTTATCTACCTGATTCCTGCTTGAAACAAGAGGTGTCTGCTATAACTGATATGCTTGTGCTCTTATTAATGTATAACGAATGATACCGTCAATTAGAGAACAGTAAATTATCGACCGGATCAATGACACGTAAATCTGTACAAGCAGTCTAGAGTCCTTATTGGTCCTGCTTCCTGTCTAGACCTGCCGGTTAAGTTTAGAACGCCAGTCTCAGCCTCTGCGATATAAATCACGTATTTCAAACACACTGAGTTTACATGCAAACCAAACAGACCACATCGCATCACAAAATAGAAAATAACATTTGTGACTGTGAATGTGGGAGATTGTAATTAATAGACTGCGTATAACTCAAGAATGGTAAATCTTATAATAATAGTTCATAGATCAAAATACAGCTTATGATAAGAGGAACACGAATATGAATAATTTAGCTATTTAACAATTATACAATAAAAATATGCGTATGGTATTAGTCCAGAAATAGATTCCAACAATTACCATTCATTATTCTGATCGGGATATCACAGTATCAAATGAGTATTCTCAGTATGCCTCAACTGTCTAAAAGTTTTTTCAAAGAAATTATGTTTAATAAATCAAACATGGAACAAATGACATGAAATTCCGAGACTTGGAAGTTAAGAATACAAACTTAGCAATTTATAAATCTCACAGGTTGAAATCATGAGTCAGTTGAAGCTAGACCACCATGGAAAACCTGGAAGCACTGGACGGCGGGATTCGAACCCAGGACCTACTGGTTTCGCACGAGAGCACTTAACCACTAGACCACTGAGCCGGCATCCAACGGCGGGGTGCGGGATCGTGGATGCGCACTGCTGAGGAGTCCCATACTGGGACGAAACGGCCGTCCAGTGCTTCCAGGTTTTCTATGGTGGTCTAGCTTCAATTGACTCATGATTTCAACCTGTGAAATTTATAAATCACCCTAAACTTTCCGCAAAACTTTTGAAAAGTATTTTAGTAGGTTTAAAAATCCCCATAGAATATTCAAAATTGAAGAATATTTGAGCGAACAATTGTCTTCAATAACTCGATCATCAGGCTCTACAGTTATAAGTCCATAATTATAGTATATTACAAAGGGCAAAAATAAGGCATGGCACTAATGAATTTAACAATGTTACGTGTTAAAAATGGTGCACGTTTGCATCTGTTACGATATGTGTGTACTTCAAAATTGTATTATTTGACAAATTAGAAAGGTCATTCAATAAAGGTCAGGATGATTTAGAGTAAAGTGTTCAGTCAGCATAAGTATAATAGTATTATAGCAAAAATGAAAATGCAAAAAAATTGTGTGAATAAAAGGCATAGTAGGAGAATTTCATCTTGTCAATTGAGATGATAATAATAATAAGATTGTTGTGTGAATATAATATGTAATAAGGAGGGTGTTATCAAGGTAATTACGGTCAACAAATTGGGAATGATGGATGTGAAGATTAAGATAGAGATAATCAAAAATAATGATAGTAAGGAAAATAAATAAAATGAAGGAAGGGGGCAAGAGGTTTATAATATTCAGTCTAAGTATTCGGTGATCCAGTCGTAGGCCAAGGTAAGCAAATAGGCTGGATATATTTTTTTCCGGGTACATAAATTTGGTCTTCTGGAGTTGATCCAGATAGCTTCGGCTATGTAAAGCAGTCGTAATCTAGCTCCTTGAGGTAGATATTTTGGAACTTGATATAAAACAGAGAAAGCTTCCTCTATTTTGATATGATGTTCAGTATCTACCAAGTGAGAAAGAATGGTGCTGTTAACCGGTTGTGACTGAACACTTTACTCCAAATCATCCTGACCTTTATATTTAAGTAGGTTCAACTGTTTATTATAATTAAATCTAGCTGAAACCAATAAATTTTCTCTTATTTAGAATGAAGACGATGAAGATATCATTGATCCAGAGGTAACAAATTTAATTTTCGATAATAAATATTGACCATAATTTATAGATTTATGGTGACTACTCTGATATGGATGATGAAGATGAAGCAATTTTAAAGAGAAAAGTAATTACCTTATTTTTGACCTTGGTTTTAATGCTTAATTCACAAGAATAAACGTTTCAAAATATACACTCTTTTTAGCCTCCATGACAATGCATTGACAAAGTGTAGTGGATTTCTCATCTCAACAACATATTAAAACTCTTATGAAACACAACAAGTTATAACTTAAACAGTTGAGATCATGAGTTAATTGAAGCTAGACCAACATGGAAAACCTTTACGTTCTAGACCTCTGAACTGGCTGGCATCCAACGCTTCAACTATAATATACTTTACTATAATATCCGCAAAACCCCTTCTGATACTAATCAACATATGCTCACTAGTGACTGGCTTCAAGAGATATATCCTGGAGTTCTAGTGAGAAACAGTGACCAGTGGATTTCAACTGGGTCTGTTGTGAGATAGTAACTGACTGAAGACAATGGTGGATGTGTCACTCAATTTCGTGGATTAGTTGAAGTTAGAGATTAACATTGTTGGATTCCCACCGGCTGAGTGGTCTGGTGGTTAAGTGCTCGCGCGCAAGACCGATAGGTGCTGAGTTTGAATCTCGCGAGGCGGGATCGTGAATGCTACTTCTGAGGAGTCTCACAATGTGACGAAACGGCCGTCCAGTGATTCCAGGTTATCCATGGTGGTCTAGCTTCAATTCACTCATGATTTCAGCTATTAAAATCCCTATAATATCCACAAAACCCTTTATTCATTTTAATTATTCAGTTAAACTTTATGAAGTACAAGTTATCGGGAAAGTCGTTTTGAAAATACCTTATCAATAGAGGGGAATGTTAAGAGAAAAGAATGAAGAAATGCACAGGTTCTGTAATAGATTTATGTGTTTTAGACGGTCTTAATCATAAATTAATAATTTTTCAACAAATATTGAAAACAAAGCATTAATCATCATTCATAGTTTTTATGCCAGTTTTAGGGATCTTCAGCAAATAAGCCGTCAGTAGGTGTCAATCATTTTCAATCTTTAATTATTCAACAGCTCGTATGGTTACTTCCAGAAAAATATTTCTTTATCCATTTTAAGTAAATTAGTATCAAATACTGAATTGAAAGTTTTAACTTATTTAGCTAATGTATCCTCACAATAGAACTAGATAACTACCGAAATCATCCTTAATTAACTGAAGTGAGAAAATTCTAATTCTTAACTTACTACTCAAAAACTAATTGATTTCATGCCTACTATAAGATGTAAACCTCGTGTGTTCGAACCCATTTTAGGCTTTGTGTTTACGCAGGACGGAGAGTTCGAAACTTAGTCGAAACATTCATCTAGTGCTTCCTTCAATACTTTATTCGGTTGATGCTCCCACACGGCCACGAGTATATAGCCTCTGCCAGGGAAGTCCTACTCACTGCCTTCTCGTGACGGGGGTGTTGTTTACGAAAATAAGGGGACGAAAAGCGAATATATGGCGCTTTAACCGGATCCCAAACCAATGGTGCACATGGGCTCCAGTATCCTGAAGGAACAAATGGCGTACGAACCAATTGTTGGTCACTGGATTCCATGGGACTGCATCTCCTGATGATGCTCCATTGCCTTGAGGATCAGACCTTCAGGTCAAAGACTCGGGTCTGGCCCCCTAAGGAAACCACCTACTTCGGTTTGGGCACCCGGTTACTATCACAGCCCTCATACATATCAACAGAGATTTGTGTGGCTCATATGTATTTGATGCCTCTTTGTACCAATATCTATGTGTTGAAATAAATAAATAAATAAATAAACGTTAAATATAGTAGTTGAGAGTGATACGACTTTTGCCAAGATCATTGTTGTTCCTGGCTAATTAGTTGACTGGTATTTTTTATGAATATATTTAAAAAATAAATTAATTGTTCTTTTGATTATTTTTTATTAATTATTGTCTTGATCGAAACACTTCGAAATTAAGAACCCTAACTCATTACATTATGGATTCGTCTTTATTTTATCCAACACTATGTAATTTGGTAGCTGGAATCAGTTAGCAGAATATTTTGGATCTATTTTTTATACTATAGTTGTCATTTGTGAGCAATGAGCATCTGTAATTCAAAGAAAATTGTTACTTTCAGTGAGATTAGAAACCTCATGACCCAGTATTATAGTCAGATACATCACCACTGAGCTAGTCGGACCACAAATAACATTTTGTAGGACTGAATTATTCACAACGGTTATTAATCAATAACTTATTAGTATGAATATGAGTAATTAATAAACTTGATAGACTTAATATCACAAAAGCATATGACTGAAAGATATAAAGTCACAAAGGATACTCGGTTGTCCATTATTGCATATCGGTTTATGAATGAAAAGTTCAGCTTTTTCTCATTCTGTTCTATATAATTTGTTTTTTCTAAGTAATCTGTTATAATACACGTATATTTCATACACATAGTTCCCTTTATTATTTTAAAGACAGCAAGAACAAAGGTTGGTGCAGAATAATAAATGGATTCATTTTATTTCGTTAGGTTCTCATCAGCCCCTTTACAACCTAAAATATTTGAAATTCAACGTTATTATAGATACTTATACATTAGATGGTGATGAAGGATGAATATCTGTAACATGGTGTAGCAAAGATTTCGTTCTAGTTAATGAGGTCATAAAATTTTTTGTTTCGAATATAAAGAGTTCAGGAGGGAAGGTTCCAGAACACTGAAATATTGATTAGTAACCATGGAGTAAACAAACATTAGATGATTGTGTTATCAAGTAACTGAAAATAGATTAATGGTTATAAAAAAAGATATGAATTGAAATTGGTCAGTTGTGAATGATGTAAGTATAAAATTCAGAAAGAGTTGGAATGACGTAATAAATAAAAGGCGGGGGGGGGTAATGTTACCAGGGCAAAGAAAGATTTATTACTGTTTCTTTTTGTATACAAAGATCTGGTTTTAAACGTTTGATTGCTATCGCTTCGATAAATTTCAAAAGGTTTGAATTTGATTGTTTGTTGATCACCTTGAAGGACTTCAATATATCGACTTCATGTCCTGTGTCAAGGAGATGTCTTGCGATAGCGCTGCTGAATGCTTTTAGTCCGTCATAGATTGAAAGTATCATTATAAAAACCAATCAAAATTGATAAAAATCCATGATAAATTTTAATGAAACTCCTTTTTTTCTTCTGTCAAAGTCTTCCACATTTTTTTTCTTTTATAATTTTAGAAAGATAAAAAAACTAGTTTAGCAGCAAAGTTAAATAAGATTCGTTCTGTACTCGGAACATTGCAAGATATTGCTGAATGGATAACATCATTCTTCGAACGATTGAATTAGTAAGTTGAACTATTAAATTAGTTTTATTTGATAGTATTTTAATCTCCACTTTTGTAATTAGTAGTATCACAATAATCAAGGATTTTGGCATGGATTGGTTAACGAAACATCAACGAAACTAATATTAAAATGTCTAAGTCAATAAACTGTGTCAATGTTCTTCATCTTGTATTAATTGATTGAATCTTCCAATTGACGTTTAGGACTGTGATTAGTCAATCACTTTTTGGCGTATGTGGATCCTTTGAAGACTGCCTCGATATTGCCTTAAGTCAGGAACATTATAAGCAGAGATGGGTGGTGGCTACCAATGGAAGCCAGAACGCGCGTTTCATTCTATTTTAGACTAGTTATCCGGATGTACTTGGATCCCAGAGTTGATGATCACACCGAGACTCAGACCTAGTATCATTCACTTCAAACGTCATTGTGTTATACACTTAGCTACTGAGTCTAGCTGACATTTATTTATTTATTTATTTATTTTAACACATAGATATTGGTACAAGGAGGCACCAAATAAATATGCGCCACACAAATCTCACTTGCTTTGTGAGGGCTGTGATACTGCCCGGGTGCACGAACTAAAGCATGTGGTTTTATTAGGGGGTCACACCCGGAGCCTTCAACCTGAATGTCTGATCCATACGGTAGTGGAGCATCGTAAGGAGATGCAGTCCCATGGTACCCGTTGATCAACAATTGGTTCATACACCATTTGTTCCTTCAGGATACTGGAGCCCATGTGCACCATTGGTTTGGAATTGTGGTTTTCCAACTCCCCTAGGTGGACTCCATGTCCACCAACCCGGTCAAAGCGCCATACATCCGCTTTTCGTCCTCTCAAGTTCGTAAACAAAACCCACACCACGAGAAGGCAGTGAGTAGGACTTCCCTGGCAGAGGCTATATACGCGTGGTCATGTGAGAGCATTTCGAGAGGGAGAGGCGACTCTCCCTACTCTCAGCCGTACCAGGGAATTTGGAGGCAGTGCAGCTGGGAAGTCAAAAACAAGACGATACGCGTGTCCTGAATTTCACTACTAGCCACCATCCATCTCTGATTATAATGGCTGTATCAGCATACATTACATAGCTCAGCTTAAAATTGTTAGAAATGATTTCACCTTGTCGGGATGATGAACGTTGAATGCCATTACCCTAACGGTTGTCCTTTATTGAGGCTTAGCAGTATTAAAATGCTTCAATAAATCTTACATATTAGCATAGGGGGTCGTGGAGATTGTTGGATATTAGAGATAATGAGTCAACCCAATATAGTTAAATAATTGATTGTTAACACCATACGTAGCCATCGATTCACTGTAGCTCACTAAATGTATTTACTTATCTATCTAGTCATAAAATAACGTTTTTGAACTTCAACCCCTTTAATTACTTATGTTTCTTACATTCCCACTAATAGACTGGGAATAGTGTACAACTCCACGTTTAACCCAAAGTGATTATAATTCGTTAGGTAACCTGATAACTGAAATTATATATCTCGCTTGATAATAGATGCTATTCAATAGGTATAAGTTAAGCGTATTAGAAATTCATCACTTCACACTATTAAATAAAAAGGATTATTCAACATAAAAATAATAACTAAAAGCAACAGGTTTTCCATATGCTCAAGAAATGTCCAGTAATTATTTAATTGTCAAGTTTCTTGGCTGTGAGCCAAGTAACTATCTACCATCTGACTGACAACCATCACTCAATATCATAGTCGGATTGGAATCCTACAAAAATCATTGGTTCCATCAACATTTCAGATACACCTTGCCAACAAAAAACAACCAACTAAAACTTAATTTCTGAGCTTCCTGTCTATTGTGTCTAACCTTCTAATATCAAATAAAACACGTGATGACGGTGATTTATTTAGACAAGAGGCCATATTGCAGTTTAATCGATCGAATCCACTTGGCATTTAGTATCAGATAATAAGGCATTGTCACCTCTAAATGAACTATTACTAAGAATGTTACGTTGATTGTTGATATTTAACCTTCATAATAAGATACAATTTAAATGATGTGAGCTTCTTCATTTTATTAACATTTTCCTCTTGGATGAATAAGGATTCCTAACGAAGGTGTGACCTGAAGAGATCGTGGCAATTTCTGATACTGACCAGTTGATTTAGAGCATCAAATAATTTGAATTGCCACTTCATGGCTGTAACCTTTCGTTTAGGTATGATTTAATAGGTAACAATCAATCAGATTTTATTGTTTTCGGAAAGGTGATTGGTTAACAGATAACTTTTCGTGATTATTTGCTGGTAGAGGAGCCATGTAACAACTTTATTATTATTATTATTAGAGTTTGAGTTTCAACGTGAACATCAACAGTGACATGCAGATATATTCATCTGACAAGTTCCAGATAGGACAGAGAATTTATCCTGGACTCCAAGTCTACCCACAGTCGATCTGTTCTATTTCATACCAAATTAAAGCTTTATGGTAAGGAACACAGTTATCTTAGATGAGCATAAAACTGAAGACATTTTGTTCCTATAGAAACAACATCAATCAGTCCAGATTAAATTTCAATTCAACAATAAAGATTTTGTCAATTTGTTTCTTCTACAAAGTTTAGTTGAACCGTTTTTTCAATGATCTGACAGGATTTTATTATTTGTTGTCAGCTTGATTGCTCTCAACATACGCCACAATTAACATTCTTTTTTTCCCATTTTCCTTTATAGTTTATGCAGATGGAGATATCCTTCTTTGAGTTGTTTATTCTTGGTGACTATTTTAATGATTTCAATAATGCTCTATTTCATACCTTTACGATATATTATTTTTGGATATAGTAAGTGAGATTTTGTTAATTTGTTCAACAATAACATGAAACACGTTTTACTATTAAGTTAAGTGATTACTGATTAACTTTGAGATGAGTTTCTTAAAGATGATGCAGTGAAAAAAATCTATCTATGGAGTGTAGGATTTATCAAGTCAGCAATAAGACAATAATTCATAGGTGATATTGAATATTATGGATCAGACAAATTTAAGTTTGATTGCAATTATATGACCTTAAATGATAATGGATTCAGTGAGATCTTATAGTTTTAGTGGTTAGCTAAATGATTTTAAGGAGATCATGTTTTTGTATTCAAACAACACCCTAAAGTCAAGTAGCAATAAAAAGATTATAAAAGAGGCATTGTATCAAAGGATCTTAATTGTGCTCATAGCCAAGGTATCATATTCTTGACTGCGTCGGAAGGACAAATGTGTATGCAACACTGATTTATATATCTATGGATTCGGTTTTGTAAATTAAGGTTCCATAGACATTTCTCTGTCTTGGATTATTGATTGGGCAAATACATGATAAGTGTATGTATCTGAATTGGATGTCGTTGGTCGTAATATATAGGTCCTATTCTGTGTAGCTTAGTTAGTGTATACAGAAGAAGTGTTCTAAAATAGAATATAACAGTTGCTTGACTTTGTAATAGTTTTTCAATGTATTTCATTTGGTTTACTGAAAATTGGCTTTAAATCATAAAAACATCTGGACAAAATCATTCATATGAGTGATGAATCAAACAGGATTACGTGTTAGGTAGACTCACATAAGCTTTAAAGAAGCTTGGAAATACGTTTCATGCTAGACAGAGAAACTGATTCTTCTTGTGGTTCTCAGCCCAGTATTACCTTGTGTTACGATTAATTACACTACCACTGGGTTATTTAGGTCGCAACTTAGTCCCTATAAAGCTAAGGTATTTTGGTTTATTGTTTGTTGATTCAGTTAGTCAGTCCCAACGTAGAACCTTGTACTTTCAAGTTCGGTTCAAGTTTTCATACCTCATTAGCACAGTGTTGAATTTGTTAGGAAAAACACCAGAATTGTAGAGGTAGCAATATTAGGAATGGTGATTGTAAAGATTAGACATGGAGGATGCAATTCGAGAAGAAAATATAAACTGATGAAATAAAAAAGTTATGAGTAATTTAGGATCTTAGAATTTGAGAGAGACAAAGAATGGATGCGCCTGCACCATGGCAGACGATTTTGAGCCATGTTATACAAAGCCTCTAATCATTTGATATGATAACCGCGTGAACTCCAACCAGGTAGTTTGCGTCTACCTACCCAGCTCAGTTCAACAGACAATGAATTAATGGTTTGATGTCATGTGTTAATTTGACCACCCCTAGCTTTCTACTCCTACACCAGACGACAGCACCCATCGAGATAGGAGGTGCTTGGACATATGTAATACATGTCCCAACCATTTCGTTTGATGAAGATTTACAACCTCACGAATCGATTTTCCATTCTGCGTCCCAGCCCCGCTAACTAGAGAGAGAAGTCCAAGTTCGAACGGCAAATATATTCCGCAAGCAGCCAGAAGCACGAGCGATAACAACAGGCATAAATCAAACGTATATATATATATATATATATATATATATATATATATATATATATATATAGCATAAAACTGTCCTTAGGAAGAGCTACAAAATAGCGTACTAAAAGAAACAACGGACCAATAGCGTTTAGGATTCTCCCAAGTGGGAAATATGACGTTGTGAAAAGAGCGATTTTGGCGCGATGACAAAGAAATTCAAATTTTCAAAATAAAATCACGAAAATAAGGTATTTACCAAGTGAGATCTGGGGATCTAACATCCCCAACACATCCTCATCTAATACCCTATTTCCAACCTAGGCATTGCTCATTCACTGGTCCCGAAATACACGAGCAGTGCTTCGTAGACACCTGTGATCGGATACTGGTAACCGAGGGATACCCTCCATTCTTAATGGGTATAAATAAATCTATTTGTTCACAACTGGATGACAGTTCTCAGGCAATGTTTGTTTATCTGTTATAAAAGGAAGAGGACTGTATATTTATGCGTTGTTAACCACAACCAGTAGTCTGAATTCATGTAAATAGTTTGGCCAAGTGATAATCAACCAATATAACTGAATTACTCGCCAAATATTACCATTTATCGTAAAAATGGTCTATAGTATGCAGTTAATTTAATCTTAGATATGACCAATATGTATTTAATCATTCAAAAGTTTATCACCTTAATGACATGATATAAATCGGATTTCGTATGAGTAAGTATTTGAAGTAATAAGAATGAGAACATCTTTTAAAAATAATTCACTTTATCTAACTTGATACCACTGAGTAATGCACATATAGGTGAGAATCAGTGTAATAAGATATAGTTTATTATATCTCCTACATGTGTATCAATCCTGCAATCTGACCAAGAATATACAAATTCTCTGGCGACATAGTTTGATCAGTGGATCCGAATATCCTACCATGCATCAATTTGATGCCAAATTAAAGCTTGTATTAAAGCACCTGCATGTGAATCACGACATTTTCATGCATACCTTTTAAATAATGAGGTGTATAGTCCATTTTATCGGGGTATTTTTTTTTATTTTCTTTAAAAAAAACTGTTTTTGTCTCATTTATCCAGCTCTGAAAAAGTTCACACGTAGAATGCGCAATCGACAAAGACCGTCTACTACATTATTTATGGGTATTTTAAATAGAGTTCCTAGTAGAATGGAGAAGGTACGTTCAAACAGATTCCATCCTTAAAAATACCCATGATGATACGTGATGTTTGTATTGTGTAAAACATTTTTTTCAGGCAGAGTGTTGATTCGATGGATTGACTGATATTTGTAAATTAATATGTCATTTAGTGTGGGTTTTTTTTAGCTGAAATTACCAAGAGGTTTAGGCGCTTAAAGATTCATATTTTACTGTCTGATCACAAAATGTTTTGATTTCTAAACAGAATGATATTTGACTTTTTACTACAAATGTAGAAAGTGTTTCCCCAATAACACTTTTTCATTTATAATTAGTATATTAAAATATTTTTGTAGCTGACAAATCTTGCGAATTGAACGCTATGTTCGTTTCCTAATGTATTCTGGAAACCCGCACGCTAGAACTATACAGCGACCTGAACACCAGGGAGAAGACGCAAAGTATGAGAGAAATACTTTACTCCAAGGTTCGTTTTTGTACAGAAAACATGGGTATTTATAGACGTTAACGTTTGTTAAATCAACATCATATTTCGGCCAATCCGTTAACGACATATTATACTACTGACCAATAGTAGCACGCCACGTTGGGATTCTAGAATGCACCATCATGCTCTGATTGACTAGGACTCTTCGGCTTCTTTTAAGTCTCTGGAGGCTCCATTGAAGTTCTCCGAAAGCCGACTCAACAGTAGCGTTCTTAGGTAGACAAATATCGTTAATATAGAACTGAAGGTGTTTAGATTTGAAATTATTCAGCAAAACTTGTCAGGTAAAGTTCATACAGTAATGTTTAAGCAAGTGTATCCGGATATTATGAGTATGGAAAGTGCTTATCTGACATGTCCCAATGATTCTGGCAATTTGTCAGTTTTCAATCTTAATATTGTCTAATTCATATTACACAACTACTTTTACATGATTGATAAAATATTCACACTAAAGTTTTGTATGCATTATTCTCATGTTCATTAGGTCTTATGAAATATTTATCACTGTTTACAAAAGCACTTTTGACAAACTCATGTAAGAGATAGTGAAACGAAGTTTTAAGACAACGATTGGCGAGATCTATACGTAGGAGTGGTTAACAACTTTAGAATCCCTACTTCACTATATTCCCTGTTATTATTTAGTGAACCACCAATTAGTTATTTCGTTCGAAAGTTTTTTTGTAATAACACAGTAAGTTGAAATAACTCGTTCATTTGCACGTTATAAATCATCTATATAGAAAAAGTGAGGACTTGACACGCATGGCATCATGTTACTTACTTACTTACGCCTGTTACTCCCAATGGAGCATAGGCTGCCGACCAACATTCTCCAACCCACTCTGTCCTGACCCTTCCTTTCTAGTTCTATCCAATTGTTGTTCATTCTTCTCATGTCTGTCTCCATTTCTCGGCATAATGTTTTCTTTGCTCTTCCTTTTCTCCTTTGGCTTTGAGAATTCCAAGTGAGGGGTTGCGTTGTGACTCAGTTTGGTGCTTTCCTTAATTTATGTGCTATCCACATCCACTGCTTCTTCCTGATTTCCTTCTCTGTTGTAATCTGGTTTGTTCTCTCCCACAGTAGGTTGTTGTTGATAGTGTCTGGCTAACAGATGTGAAGTATTTTGCGTAGACAACTGTTAATAAACACTTGTATCTTCTGGATGATAGCTTTCTCAGTTCTCCAAGCTTTTTTATTGTGTGATTTACTTGTCAAATTTCAATGTCTTTTAAATATAAAATCATCTAAGTTTATCTCAAAATTAAAAGATTTTTTTGGTAGTTTCATCACAAAAACAAAATGTTTAAAAAATTAACCATTTATGAAAATACACCGGAAATTACTATTAGTGTTTTTGTTGAGTCGGCTTTCGGAGAACTTCAATGGAGCCTCCAGAGACTTAAAAGAAGCCGAAGAGTCCTAGTCAATCAGAGCATGATGGTGCATTCTAGAATCCCAACGTGGCGTGCTACTATTGGTCAGTAGTATAATATGTCGTTAACGGATTGGCCGAAATATGATGTTGATTTAACAAACGTTAACGTCTATAAATACCCATGTTTTCTGTACAAAAACGAACCTTGGAGTAAAGTATTTCTCTCATACTTTGCGTCTTCTCCCTGGTGTTCAGGTCGCTGTATAGTTCTAGTGTGAGGGTTATCAGAATAGCTTAAGAACAAATAAAGCGTCCAATCAGCAAGACTTAACAGTTTTAAATTATTTTTTTTTGAATTAATCTTGCTTACACAATAAATCCACTTTTATATCAGAACAAGAATTGCACTAATGAAAGAGGACAAACCTATCATCATTTACAACATAAGTTTCATCTACTGTGATGAACAATTTGTTAAACATCCTTTCCATCTACACATTTACGAATATAATATGGTTTAATGGAATAGTATAGTATTAGTTACATCAATTTATGTGGACAATTATATAGATGAATTTGAGTAAAATAATGTCAACATATCAGAGTGAGGAAAATTGCAAGTAGGTTAAGAAATCTCTAGAATGGCTACATGGTTTCTAGTTTTGAGTGGATAGACATATTAGCATAAATTCAATCCATCAATTAGTGAGGGGTAGGTGGTCAATGAGCTACATAATCCGAGATCAACTTAACATAGCAGTTTATTGAAAATAAATATAAAGATAACAAAGTTTATGAAGGTAACTGGTCACTAACCACACCATCGGAACTGATTAATACAAAGATATTTAGAGATTGAAATCGTGAGTCAATTTGAAGCTAGACCACCATGGAAAACCTGGAAGCATTGGACGGCCGTTTCGTCCTAGTATGGGACTCCTCAGCAGTGCGCGTCCACGACCACACACCCCACGGGACTCGAACCCAGGACCTACTGGTTTCGCGCGCGAGCACTTAACCATTAGACCACTGAGCCGGCACCCAACGGTGTTAATGTCTAACTTCAACCAATCCACGAAGTTGCGCCACCGTACACCATTGTCTTCAGTGAGCTGATATCTCATAGCAGACCTGGTTGAACTCCACTGGTAACGGCTTCTCACTAGAACTCCAGGAGTATCTCTTGAAATCAGTCACTAGTGATGTTTACTAAATGCACACAAAAACACCATAATATTTTCTGTATATCATTAATATTCTCTTTATTTTTTTTAAAAATTCTCTTAAGATTTATTACAGAGAATTAAGACCTTTATCTACTCCACCAGCTGAAATAAGACAATCAAATGTGTTATCAACTACCAAGGTAGGAGGAGTACAAAGTTGTCCAGGAACGAATGGTTATCAAAGTAATGTGGAATGATGCACAAATATTACCGGAATATACATATACATACAGACATATATATACAAAATATTATACATAGTATTGACTTTATTGATTTTATCCATACTTCTTTTCTTTTAACCTTTTATGACATCATCAATCACTATTTCACAGCTGACAGTGATCAACAAAATACTGTTTTTTTCTTTATTATTTGTACTTTATTGAATGTTTGAATTACGAAATCTTACAATTACAGCGTTTATTATCATTATTAATACAAAATATTAACATTTAGTAACATCTCTTTCTCTCTCCCCCACTCTCCCTTTCTCTCTCTCTCTCTCTTCTTTCCTTCATCTCCGTAACTAACTCATTATTACTAATGAATTTTTATAATGTATCCGTATACTTTCTAAAAACCAAAACAAAAACAAAACAGAAACTAATTTCTATCCAATCACATCATTCATTTTAAACAAATGGAACTTGATTGACTCAATAGAAAACAAAAAAAGGGGATCATAGTTGAAGTATTAAATATTGAATTAAGATAATAACAGAGCTAAATACTCTATTGTATAACATTTGATCAAAGATGATTGAGAAGAACTAGTCTTATTTGATGATTTCTTGAATCTTTGACATTCTTCTATGATAATATTGACCTGTTCACAGTTGATAAAGATTATTTTTTTATAAACATCATTACAAATTTATTTATTTGCTTATTAACCTTAATGAAAAACGATTTGTCAATCATATGGAGAAAATAATAATAATAATAATGAATAAAAATTGTACTTTTACAGTTCATGAGACAACTTCTACTAAATCTCTATAATTCATAAATAGATCCTAGCAGTTACAACTCATTTGATTTGTGTGTAGGTTGTAATATTGCTAGGTCAGCCAAACTGAAGCAGATGATTTTCTTAGAGGGCTGCACCCAAAGCCGTTGACTTAAAGGTCTGATCTACAAGACACTGCAGTAACATTAGGAGATGCAGTCTCATGGCGGTCGGTGATCAACAATTGGTTCATACGCCATTTGTCCTTTTAAGATACTGGAGGCCATGTGTACTATTGGCTTGAGATTAGGCTTTTCCAACTCCTCCAGATGTCCATCAACTCGGTTAAAGCGCCGAACGTTCGCTTTTCATCCGCTCAATTTGGTAAACAACAGCAATGCCATGGGAAGGCAGTGAGTAGTACCTCTCTGGCAATGGCTGTATTCATGTGGCAATGTGAGAGGTCAGTCAGTCAGCTACACGTAGGACCAGGCACATATATGCATCGACCCAACTTGCCACACCTCATTAGCACAACAAGATGAATACCGAATTCACAGAAGCAGTTACTTCAATGGTAGTGATACATAAAAGAAAGATTGTGCTTAAGGATATAATACAGGAAGAAAGGAAGATATAGTTTTAATCTCACATTTTAAGGGAAAACAAACAGTGTATACACCTACGCCATTGTGATACAATCTGAGATATGTCACCCAGAGTCTCCAACCATTGAGACAATTGAAGATGGTTGTAATATCGTGGATTGGTTAAGGTTAGATAATAAAACACCGTTAAACACAGTCTCAGTGATCGTAATTTCAATCTCTGATAACATCTTCATTTTGTGGTACTCTGTTTCAATTGATTAATTTATCAATATCAACATTCGTTCAATAGGTTTTAGATCATAATGAAATCTTAAAATGCATTAACATTTTCGTTTTGTCATAATAATTTTTTTTACGCTGAAGTGGTGGTATAAGATATGTAGTAAAACTGCTTAAATACCGCTTAGAAATATAATTATATACATGTACAGGCATGACACTATAAGAATAGTACATTTAAAATGCACATCCAATAAAGTAAGCACAATGAACAATTTTACTGTAATCATATGTAATAGTAACAGATACTTCCAAGCATTACGGTAAGTTGGAATAATTCGATTAGGACTATGGAGTCGGAAAATGCGATTGATTTCTGTATAGTGAAAGATAATTGGTCTAATACTTTTGATACTACTTATAGGCATTTGCATTTACATCTAATGCAAGCTGATTTTCATTTTATTTGACGAAATTAATCAATACGAATATGTTAAAAACATCAAGTTATAGTTTATATGTACGTTTTATTGGTGTATGATATGGCTATTTAAATGGATTCGATCAAACCTTACTCATGATTACAGTTTATACTCAAGTGTCTGAAAATTATTAATTAATATTTAACTCATTAATTATTCGATTATCAGTATAGGGTTCCGAAGATTCATGAATTTTAATTGAAATTATGAACTGATCAATGTTGGACCACCATTGAAAACCTGGAATCACTGGACGGCCATTTCGTTTCTGATGTGAACAGAGAAACAAGAAGCCTTAAAAAACTACGGAAGCTGTTTCTAGGGACGTTATTTGATTTAATTAAAAGCTTGTAAAACAATAACATTTATTTTTGTCCCTAGTCTATTCTACAGATCATAAGCTTTCGTTTGATATATGATTCACTGCCATAGCCCCTTTTGTTCCAAAGCTATTGTAATTTAAACGTAATATTTTGTACTCTACTTTCTACGCACATCTCCAGTTATGCTAATAACTGTATTTTCCTAATTGTTGTGAGTTGTGGTCTGGTTAGTCATTTATTTATTCATGTATCTTTTACACTAATCTGAAATCGGGAATAAATCGTGGAGTGTGCCAGTTGACTTGTCTTCTCTCACTCGCGTGCTTGTCAGCCAATCAAGTGATAGAATAATTTACGTCTCTCTACCCCAAGCAGTTGATCTCACGCCTACTAGCCCCAAGGTTAAACCAGTCAGCCTATCGCGTCAAGGTCTTAATCTAGATTAGACAAGTTATACTCTGCACAAAAAGTGGTAGACAGATCAAGGACGTAACAGTTTCATGTGCTCAATAGTGACTAGCTTCGAGATGTAACTCTCAGGGTCCTAGTGAGAAGCCATGAGCAGTGGAGTTCAATCGCATCGGGTGTGGGGCAGCTACCCACTGAAGACAATGGAAGATGGTTGCAATATCGTGGATTGGTTGAGGTTAGATATTAAAACACCGTTGGATGATGCCTCAGTGGTCTAGAGGTTAGGCATTCGCGCGCGAGACGGAAGACTTTGAGTTCCAATCAAGCGTGCGGAATCGTGCATGCTTACTGCTGAGTACCACACTGGGACGAAACGGCCGTTCAGTGCTTTCGAGTTTCCAGTGGTGGTCTAACATTGATAGATTCATGATCTCAATTACATTTAATCGATTATTTACTCAAAGTATAAGTTGAAACGTTATTTAGATGCTTTGAAAATATTTTTCTTTTTATTCGCTTTCCTGACAAGCTTTGTTATGTTATGAACGCATGTGTGTGCAAATCTATTGTAAACTGTTATTTTGTGTGGAAATTATCATCTACAATTTGCATTAAGGAAAATTTAGCTAACACTGACCAGATGTTTCACTTCACAGCTGAGCTTCACAACCCTTTTATGCTATTAGAAATCATGTAAGTATTAGTAACTAACTCTAAGAGTTTCTCGAAGTTTGAATAAGCAGCTACAGTCATCGGATCTCAACCATGTCAGATATAAAACGGATAACGTGGATATCAATGGATAATAAAAGAACAGATCGAAGAAATTTCATTTCAATTAGATATTTCATTTATTAATTATTTATTTCAACATATAGATATTGGTACAAAGAGGCATCAAATACATATGTGCCACACAAATCTCATTCGATATGTGTGAGGGCTGTGATACTGACCGGGTGCCCAAGCCGAACCAGGTGGTTTCCTTAGGGGGCCACACCCCGAGCCTTTAACCTGAAAGTCTGATCCTCAAGGCAATGGAGCATCATCAGGAGATGGAGTCTCATGGAATCCGGTGACCAACAATTGGTTCATACGCCATTTGTTCCTTCAGGATACTGGAGCCCATGTGCACCATTGGTTTGGGATCCGGTTAAAGCGCCGGACATTCGCTTTTCGTCCTCTCATTTTCGTAAACAACACCCCCATCACGAGAAGGCAGTGAGTAGGACTTCCCTGGCAGAGGCTATATATACGTGTGGCCATGTGAGAGCATTTGGAGAGGAAGAGCGGACTCTCTCCACTCTCGGCCGTACCAGGGCATTTGGGGGCAATTAGCTCCACATTTGTTTATATACATATATAATATATTAGTAAAATAATACTATTAATCGTAATCTACCATCATAACTATATAATTTCAAAATGATTATTGAGTAATTGAAAGGAGGGGATTATAATAATCTTCGAAAATTGAAAACATGTAAATAAACAGCTGTTAGATTACATATTTGATGAGGGAATTTAAAAAGGTCAATTTCGTAATAGCTGTGTAAGAATCAAGAAACGGATACTATAAATACAAAAGAAATTACAAAATTGTTTGAAAGAATGGAGTTCAGTCAAAACATACCCTTATATCGATGAAGATGCTAGAGAAAGTTGCTGTATAGATTTCTTTTGAGAACATAGGATCATGGCTATAACTGAAGGATGAACAGTTGGATACTTACTCAATGGACTAAATATAATCCATTCCTTAAGGATTCTATTGGTTCCAAGTTCGTTACTTATCAAGGTTGAGGGAGTGTTGTTCGGAATAAGGAAATCACATTCAAAATGGGAATAATTTGTGTTATTAGCACCATCATTCAACTTATTTTAAAAAAAAGCATATTCAGAATATTTTACATTAGTGAAACCCCAAATCAATTTGTCTGCTTCGTGAACCCATGTTCAATCTAATCATAGAACTGAATTGGGATATTTTGGTTCTAGAGGAAATCCAAAATGCATTCTCATACTGAAAAGATTTAATCCTCATTTAGTTCAGCGTACTTCATTATTTTAACTTATTTACAGAGTATATACTCGGTTTTTAAGCCAAGTTATTTATACGAGGACTTTTGGTACTACCTGTTTATTAAAATAGAGGAAAAGAGGGATTTGAGCTTGCGACTCATCGGTTGAAAACTGAATATTTTAATTAATAAGCGGTCTACAACAGTGATTAGAACAAGTCAATTATAACTCAGTCAATATGTCGTTGAATCCTTTATCCTGTTACATTGAATCCATTGCGTGACAGTAATCGACTTTCACTAAATTCAGATATCTTAAAACATTGGACTACGGTCTTGTTCAATGTATGCTAATAAACTATCTGATTAAGAATTTGGTAATTACATATCCTTTTGTCGATCAACAGGGATTTTTAGAAGCAATTTTATGTCAGCGATCATTTTGCAGTCTATTTGACCGATTACCAACTATTCTGTCAATTAACAGTTGGAAAACATTACATCGTCAAAAACATATTGACATATTCATGAAGGTCGAAGCAGTAAATGGTTACATTAAAACTCGCATAAAAGACGTAATTTAAGTGGTCAGCATATCAAGACGAAGGATAATAATAGATAACACAAACCACAGGTGATACCCACCGATACAGACCATGTTACAAAATGATCATCGAAGATGTCTCAACTTGGCCTTAGTTATCATCTCACTTCACAGGACACTCGTTCAATATTTAATGATAACCTAATGGTACCACTTAATAGAACTTATACGAATTATTTTGCCCACTGTTAACAAGCTCATATTATTGAAGGGTACAGAAAGTCATAGTAATGCATAAGACATAACAGATAGAATGAAGCTGGAAAAGCTAATAATTTTCTTACTTTTGAACTCATTTAACTTGTTATGGGATTTCAATCCAACCAGTGTCAA